ACCACGGGGAAAATGGGAAAAATCGCGTGGGAAAGTGGGGGAAGATCACAGGGAAAAATGGGGGGGAAATTGGGGAAAATCACAGGGAAAAACGGGGGGGAAATTGGGAAAAATCACAGGGAAAAATGGGGGGGGGAAATTGGAGAAAATTGGGAAAAATCACAGGGAAAAATGGGGAAGATCACAGGGAAAAATGGGGGGGAAATTGGGAAAAATCGCGTGGAAAATGGTGGGGAATTGGGAAAAATCGCGGGGAAAAATGGGGGGGAAATTGGGAAAAATGGGGGGGAAATTGGGAAAAATGGGGGGGAAATTGGGAAAAATCACAGGGAAAAATGGGGGGGGGAAATTGGAGAAAATTGGGAAAAATCACAGGGAAAAATGGGGGAAATTGGAGAAAATTGGGAAAAATCACAGGGAAAAATGGGGGGAAAGGGGGGTCGGAAATGAAGGAAAATTGGAGTGGAATGGGGAGAAATAGGGGAAAATGGGGAAAAATCACAGGGAAAAATGGGGGGCGGGAAATTGGAGAAAATGGGGAAAAATCACAGGGAAAAATGCGGGGGAAAGGGGGGTCGGAAATGAAGGAAAATTGGAGTGGAATGGGGAGAAATAGGGGAAAATTGGGAAAAATCACAGGGAAAAATGGGGGGGGGGAAATTGGAGAAAATTGGGAAAAATTACAGGGGAAAATGGGGGGAAAGGGGGGGAAATGAAGGAAAATTAGATTGGAATCGGGAGAAATAGGGGAAAATTGGGAAAAATCACAGGGAAAAATGGGGGGAAAGGGGGGTCGGAAATGAAGGAAAATTGGGGTGGAATGGGGAGAAATAGGGGAAAATTGGGAAAAATCACAGGGAAAAATGGGGGGAAAGGGGGGTCGGAAATGAAGGAAAATTGGAGTGGAATGGGGAGAAATAGGGGAAAATGCAGAAAAGTCGGGAAAATGGGAATAACTGGGCGAAAAATTGGGGGTGGGGATTGGGGGACCCCCTGGCCCCCTCCTGACAGCGCTGCCGGTTCCACAGGGGGTTCCCCGCCCGCCGACTACACCAAGGTCATCACCACCTTCCGCTTCCTCTCCCAGAAGCTTTTCATCTCCGTGTCCGTCCTGGCATCCCTGGGAATCGTCCTGGCCGTCGTCTGCCTCGCCTTCAACATCTACAATGGTCACGTCAGGTCAGAGGGAGGGGACAGAGGGGAGGGACCCCCCCCCCATTTCCTGGTGATTTGAAGAAAAATGGGAAATTTCGGGAAAGCAGAACCCATCCCACCTCGACGACCTCTTCTTCCTGGAGGACAAAAAGAGGGAAGATTTAAAAAAAAAAAAAAAAACACCAGGGGAAATGGGGGAAAAAAATTAAGAAAACGAGGAAAAAAAATGGGGGGGAAAAACTGTGGGAAAATTGAGGAAAAAACGGGGATGTGCTAGGAGGAAGCCAGAGAAAAGCCAGGAGAAAAACGGGGAAAAACAGGGAAAATTGGGAAAAGCAGGGAAAAAAATGGGGAAAAAAAACAAGAGGAAAAGAGGAGGAAAAAAACCAGAAGAAAAACTGGGAGAAAACAGGGGAAAACCGGCAAAAATGGGGAAAGTGGGGGAAAACAGGAGGAAATTTGGGAAAAAAACCAGGAGAAAAAAATTGGGAAAAATGGAATGTCCTGCCCTTTTCCTGCAGGTACATCCAGAATTCCCAGCCCTACCTGAACAACATGACGGCCGTGGGTTGCACCCTGGCCCTCGCTGCCGTGTTTCCACTGGGATTGGACGGATATCACATCAGCCCCGGGATGTTCCCGTTCGTCTGCCAGGTCTGGGACAACCCGGGGGTGGGAAGAGGGGGGATGGGGGACAAACAGGGATGGGGACAGCTGGAAACGCAGCCCAGGTGGGGAATAGACGGAGATACAACCAGGGAATGGGAAAAACTGGAGAAGGAACAGCTGGAGACGCGGCCGTGGAATGGGAATAACCATGAGATGGGAATTGGGGAAGGGACAGGTGGAGATACAACCAGGGATGGGAACAGCTGGGAGAGGAACAGTTGGAGATACAACCAGGGATGGGGGGACAAACAGGGGTGGGAACAACTGGGAGAGGAAGAGCTGGAAGAGGAACAGGTGGAGATACAACCAGGGATGGGAAGAGTTGGAAGAGGAACAGGTGGAGATAAAAGCAGGGATGGGAACAGCTGGAAGAGGAACAGTTGGAGATACAACCAGGGGTGGGAAGAGTTGGGAGAGGAACGGTTGGAGATACAACCAGGGGTGGGAACAGCTGGGAGAGGAACAGTTGGAGATACAACCAGGGGTGGGAAGAGTTGGAAGAGGAACGGTTGGAGATACAACCAGGGGTGGGAAGAGTTGGGAGAGGAACAGTTGGAGATACAACCAGGGATGGGGGGACAAACAGGGGTGGGAACAGCTGGAAGAGGAACAGGTGGAGATACAACCAGGGGTGGGAAGAGTTGGGAGAGGAACAGGTGGAGATACAACCAGGGATGGGAAGAGTTGGAAGAGGAACAGTTGGAGATACAACCAGGGGTGGGGACAACCAGGGGTGGGAACAGCTGGGAGAGGAACAGTTGGAGATACAGCCAGGGGTGGGAACAGCTGGGAGAGGAACAGGTGGAGATACAAACAGGGGTGGGAAGAGCTGGAAGAGGAACAGGTGGAAGAGGAACAGTTGGAGATACAGCCAGGGGTGGGAACAGCTGGGAGAGGAACAGGTGGAGATACAACCAGGGGTGGGAAGAGTTGGAAGAGGAACGGTTGGAGATACAACCAGGGGTGGGAACAGCTGGGAGAGGAACAGTTGGAGATACAACCAGGGGTGGGAACAGCTGGGAGAGGAACAGTTGGAGATACAACCAGGGATGGGGACAAACAGGGGTGGGAACAGCTGGAAGAGGAACAGGTGGGGAATAGATGGAGATACAACCAGGGATGGGGACAGCTGGAAGAGGAACAGTTGGAGGTACAACCAGGGGTGGGAACAGCTGGGAGAGGAACAGTTGGGAGAGGAACAGTTGGAGATACAACCAGGGGTGGGAACAGCTGGGAGAGGAACAGTTGGAGATACAACCAGGGGTTTATTCCCATTTTGGGGTGGTTTACACCCTTTTGGGGGGATGTCCCCTCTCTGGGGGCGGTCCAGGGCGTCCTGGGAAGTCCCAGCTGGAAGCCCAACTGGAAGCCAATCCCTTTTAGGCCCGGCTTTGGCTCTTAGGCCTGGGCTTTAGCCTGGCCTACGGCAGCATGTTCACCAAGATCTGGTGGGTCCACACCGTCTTCACCAAAAAGGAGGAGAAGAAGGAGAAGAGGAAGGTGAGGGGGGGGGACCTCCAGGGTGGGGGGGAAGTCTCAGGGGTGTTTTTGGTGACCCATCCTCATCCCTGAACCCCCAAATCCCAGACTTTGGAGCCCTGGAAACTCTACGCCACCGTGGGGCTGCTGGTGGGGCTGGACGTGGTGACCTTGGTCGTGTGGCAGATCGTGGACCCCCTGCACCGAACCATCGAGGTGGGGGTTTGGGGGGGGTCCCCAAAAATTCAGGAGTCTGGGAAGTCCTCTGTCCTTGGAATTGTGGGTTTGGGGGGGGAGCCTTTTGGGGGTCCCCAAAAATTCAGGAGTCTGGGAAGTCCTCTGTCCTTGGAATTGTGGGTTTGGGGGGATTCAGGGGAGTTTTGGGAGTCTGGGGGTTGTTTTGGGGGCTCTGGGCGTTCGTTCCAATCCCTCCCTTAAAATTCAGGGATCTGGGGAACTTCTGGGGATGTCTTGGGGGGGGTCTTCAAGCCATCCAAGACCTTTGGGGGGATTCTCTTGGTATTCAAGGTGTTTGGGGGCATCTCCTTGACCCTGGGGGGGGCTCCCCACGGCTCTCACCCCCTCACCACCCCCTCTGTGCCCGATTCCCACCCTGAATTCCCAGGAATTCACCAAGGAGGAGCCCAAGACGGACCTGGACGTGTCCATCCTGCCCCAGCTCGAGCACTGCAGCTCCACCAAGATGAACACGTGGCTGGGTGGGGGTTGTCAGGGGTCCTGGGGGGGGTGGTTTTGGGGGTTCTGTGGGGGCTCAGAGGGGTTAGGAAGGGACAGGAGTGGGATGGGGAGTTGTAGGGGAAAGGGGGTTTTAGGGTTGTTTTGGGGGTTTGGGGGTGTTTTTGGAGGTAATGGAGGGTTTTGGGGGTCCAGGGGGTTTTGGGGGGTCTGGATGGTTCTGGGGAGGTTTAGGAGGTTTTTTTGGGGGGGACGAGGAGGTTTTGGGGGTACAGATGGGTTTTTGGAGGCGCACGGGGAGGTTTTGGGGTTCCCTGTTTGACCCCCAATCCCCCTGTTTTCTCCCCTCCTTTTTCCAGGGATATTTTATGGCTTCAAGGGTCTCCTGCTCCTTCTTGGCATCTTCTTGGCCTACGAGACAAAGAGCGTCTCCACGGAGAAGATCAACGACCACCGCGCCGTCGGCATGGCCATCTACAACGTGGCGGTAAAAAAACCACCCCAAACCACCCCAAATCCCACCCTGGTGACCCCAAATCCCACCTGGTGACTCCAAATCCCCCCCTGGTGACTCCAAATCCCCCCCTGGTGACCCCAAATCCCACCTGGTGACCCCAAATCCCCCCTGGTGACTCCAAATCCCACCCTGGTGACCCCAAACCCCACCTGGTGACCCCAAATCCCCCTGGTGACTCCAAATCCCCCCTGGTGACCCCAAATCCCCCCTGGTGACTCCAAATCCCACCTGGTGACCCCAAATCCCCCCTAGTGACCCCAAATCCCACCTGGTGACTCCAAATCCCCCTAGTGACCCCAAATCCCACCTGGTGACCCCAAATCCCCACCTGGTGACTCCAAATCCCCATCTGGTGACCCCAAATCCCCACCTGGTGACTCCAAATCCCCACCTGGTGACCCCAAATCCCCACCTGGTGACTCCAAATCCCACCTGGTGACCCCAAATCCCCCTGGTGACCCCAAATCCCCACTGGTGACTCCAAATCCCCACCTGGTGACCCCAAATCCCCCCTGGTGACTCCAAATCCCACTTAGTGACCCCAAATCCCCCCCTGGTGACCCCAAATCCCCCCCTGGTGACCCCAAATCCCCCCCTGGTGACTCCAAATCCCACCTGGTGACCCCAAATCCCATCTGGTGACCCCAAATCCCACCTGGTGGCTCCAAATCCCACCTGGTGACCCCAAATCCCACCTGGTGACCCCAAATCCCCCCTGGTGACTCCAACCCCCCTGGTGACCCCAAATCCCACCTGGTGACCCCAAATCCCACCTGGTGACTCCAAATCCCCCTGGTGACCCCAAATCCCGACTCCTGGTGACCCCAAATCCCACCTGGTGACTCCAAATCCCCCTGGTGACCCCAAATCCCACCTGGTGACCCCAAATCCCACCTGGTGACTCCAAATCCCCCCTGGTGACCCCAAATCCCACCTGGTGACCCCAAATCCCACCTGGTGACTCCAAATCCCCCCAGGTGACCCCAAATCCCCCTGGTGACCCCAAATCCCACCTGGTGACCCCAAATCCCCCTGGTGACCCCAAATCCCACCTGGTGACCCCAAATCCCCCTGGTGACCCCAAATCCCCCTGGTGACTCCAAATCCCCCTGGTGACTCCAAATCCCACCTGGTGACTCCAAAATATCCCCACCTGGTGACTCCAAATCCCACCTGGTGACTCCAAACCTCCACCTGGTGACCCCAAATCCCCCCCTGGTGACCCCAAATCCCATCTGGTGACTCCAAATCCGCCCCTGGTGACTCCAAATCCCCCTGATGACCCCAAATCCCCCCCTGGTGACTCCAAATCCTTCCCTGGTGACCCCAAATCCCCCCCTGGTGACCCCAAATCCCCCCCTGGTGACCCCAAATCCCACCTGGTGACTCCAAATCCCCCCCTGGTGACTCCAAATCCCAACCTGGTGACCCCAAATCCCACCTGATGACTCCAAATCCCCCCCTGGTGACCCCAAATCCCTCTTAGTGACCCCAAATCCCCCCCTGGTGACTCCAAACCCCTCCAAACCCAACCCTGAGACCGCCCCCTGACCCGGCTACAACGTGGTGGTCAAACCGACCCCATAAGACCCCAAGCCTGCGTGGTGACCCCAAAACCCCCCGTGGGATGACCTCCAACCCCCCCCTGCAGGTGCTTTGCCTCATCACTGCCCCGGTGACGATGATCCTGAGCAGCCAACAGGACGCCGCCTTTGCCTTCGCGGCGCTGGCCGTCGTCTTCTCGTCCTACATCACCCTCGTCGTGCTCTTCGTGCCCAAGGTGGGCTTGGGACCCGCCCCACGGTGACCCCAAAAACCCCAAAACCCCAAAAACCCCGCAGGGACCCCAAAAACCCCAGAGTGACCCCAAAAACCCCACAGGGACCCAAAAACCCCAGAGTGACCCCAAAAACCCCGCAGGGACCCAAAAACCCCAGAGTGACCCCAAAAACCCCAGAGTGACCCCAAAAACCCTACAGTGACCCAAAAAACCCCACAGTGACCCCAAAAATCCCACAGCGACCCCAAAAACCCCACAGTGACCCCAAAAACCCCGCAGTGACCCAAAAACCCCACAGGGACCCCAAAAACCCCAAAAACCCCAAAAACCCCGCAGGGACCCCAAAAACCCCAGAGTGACCCCAAAAACCCCAAAAACCCCGTAGTGACCCCAAAAACCCCACAGTGACCCCAAAAACCCCAGAGTGACCCCAAAAACCCCAAAAACCCCGCAGTGACCCAAAAAACCCCAAAAACCCCACAGTGACCCCAAAACCCCATAGTGACCCCAAAACCCCACAGTGACCCCAAAAACCCCAAAACCCCACAGTGACCCCAAAAACCCCAAAAACCCCGCAGTGACCCCAAAATCCTGCAGCGACCCCAAAAACCCCACAGTGACCCCAAAAACCCCAAAAACCCCAAAAACCCCAAAAACCCCAAAAACCCCGCAGGGACCCCAAAAACCCCGCAGGGACCCCAAAAACCCCACGGTGACCCCAAAACCCCGCAGTGACCCCAAAAACCCCAAAAACCCCACAGTGACCCCAAAAACCCCGCAGTGACCCCAAAAACCCCAGAGTGACACCAAAAACCCCGCAGTGACCCCAAAAACCCCAAAAACCCCACAGTGACCCCAAAACCCCACAGTGACCCCAAAAACCCCAAAAACCCCACGGTGACCCCAAAACCCCGCAGTGACCCTAAAAACCCCAAAAACCCCAAAAACCCCCCAGTGACCCCAAAAACCCCAGAGTGACCCCAAAAACCCCACAGTGACCCCAAAAAACCCCACAGTGACCCCAAAAACCCCAAAGACCCCAAAAACCCCACAGTGACCCCAAAAACCCCAGAGTGACCCCAAAAACCCCGCAGTGACCCCAAAAACCCCACAGTGACCCCAAAAACCCCAAAAACCCCAAAAAACCCCACAGTGACCCCAAAAACCCCACAGTGACCCAAAAACCCCACAGTGACCCAAAAAACCCCAAAAACCCCACAGTGACCCCAAAAACCCTGCAGTGACCCCAAAATCCTGCAGGGACCCCAAAAACCCCACAGTGACCCCCCCAGTGGATTTTTGGGGTCAATCCCATAACTCCTGTGCCCCACTGACCCCACACTGACCCCACACTGACCCCACACTGACCCCAGAGCCATCCCAGTGACCCCCCAGTGGATTTTTGGGGTCAATCCCATAACTCCTGTGCCCCACTGACCCCACACTGACCCCACAGCCATCTCAGTGACCCCAGAGCCATCCCAGTGACCCCACACTGACCCCAGAGCCGCCCCAGTGACCCCACAGCCATCTCAGTGACCCCAGAGCCATCCCAGTGACCCCACACTGACCCCAGAGCCGCCCCAGTGACCCCACAGCCATCTCAGTGACCCCAGAGCCATCCCAGTGACCCCACACTGACCCCAGAGCGCCCCAGTGACCCCACAGCCATCTCAGTGACCCCAGAGCCATCCCAGTGACCCCACACTGACCCCAGAGCCGCCCCAGTGACCCCACAGCCATCTCAGTGACCCCAGAGCCATCCCAGTGACCCCCCAGTGACCCCCCCAGTGGATTTTTGGGGTCAATCCCATAACTCCTGTGCCCCACTGACCCCACACTGACCCCACACCGACCCCACAGCCATCCCAGTGACCCCAGAGCCATCCCAGTGACCCCACACTGACCCCACACTGACCCCACAGCCACCCCAGTGACCCCAGAGCCATCCCAGTGACCCCCCAGTGACCCCACACTGACCCCACAGCCACCCCAGTGACCCCAGAGCCATCCCAGTGACCCCACACTGACCCCACACTGACCCCAGAGCCATCCCAGTGACCCCAGAGCCATCCCAGTGACCCCCCCCAGTGGATTTTTGGGGTCAATCCCGTAACTCCTGTGCCCCACTGACCCCACACTGACCCCACAGCCATCCCAGTGACCCCCCAGTGGATTTTTGGGGTCAATCCCATAACTCCTGTACCCCACTGACCCCACACTGACCCCACACTGACCCCAGAGCCATCCCAGTGACCCCACACTGACCCCCCCAGTGGATTTTTGGGGTCAATCCCATAACTCCTGTGCCCCACTGACCCCACACCGACCCCACACTGACCCGACACCGACCCCACAGCCATCCCAGTGACCCCAGAGCCATCCCAGTGACCCCAGAGCCATCCCAGTGACCCCACACTGACCCCACAGCCATCCCAGTGACCCCCCAGTGACCCCAGAGCCATCCCAGGGACCCCAGAGCCATCCCAGTGACCCCACACTGACCCCCACAGCCATCCCAGTGACCCCCAGTGACCCCCAGTGGATTTTGGGGTCAATCCCATAAAACTCCCGTGCCCCACTGACCCCACACTGACCCCACACTGACCCCACAGCCATCCCAGTGACCCCACAGCCATCCCAGTGACCCCACACTGACCCCACAGCCATCCCAGTGACCCCCCAGTGACCCCCCCAGTGGATTTTTGGGGTCAATCCCATAACTCCTGTGCCCCACTGACCCCACACTGACCCCAGAGCCATCCCAGTGACCCCACACTGACCCCCACAGCCATCCCAGTGACCCCCCAGTGACCCCCCAGTGACCCCCCAGTGGATTTTTGGGGTCAATCCCGTAACTCCTGTGCCCCACTGACCCCACAGTGACCCCACACCATCCCAGTGACCCCCCCAGTGGATTTTTGGGGTCAATCCCATAACTCCCGTGCCCCACACGCAGATGAGGCGGCTGATCACGCGGGGGGAGTGGCAGTCGGAGCAGCAGGACACGATGAAAACGGGATCCTCCACCAACAACAACGAGGAGGAGAAATCCCGGCTCCTGGAGAAGGAGAACCGCGAGCTGGAGAAGATCATCGCCGAGGTCTGGGGCTTGGGGAGCCCCCAGATAGGGTTGGGACCCCAAATGGGGGTTGGGGGACCCCAAATGGGGGTTGTGGGAGCCCAAATGGGGGTTGTGGGACCCCTAAATGGGGGTTGGGGGAGCCCAAATGGGGGTTGGGGGAGCCCAAATGGGGGTTGTGGGAGCCCAAATGGGGGTTGGGGGAGCCCAAATGGGGGTTGTGGGACCCCAAATGGGGGTTGTGGGAGCCCAAATGGGGGTTGTGGGACCCCAAATGGGGGTTGTGGGAGCCCAAATGGGGTTGTGGGACCCCAAATGGGGTTGGGGACCCCAAATGGGGGTTGGGGAGCCCAAATGGGGGTTGGGGAGCCCAAATGGGGGTTGTGGGAGCCCAAATGGGGGTTGTGGGACCCCAAATGGGGGTTGTGGGAGCCCAAATGGGGGCTGTGGGACCCCAAATGGGGGTTGGGGAGCCCAAATGGGGGTTGGGGACGCTGAATGGGGGTTGTGGGACCCCAAATGGGGGTTGTGTGACCCCAAATGGGGGTTGTGGGACCCCAAATGGGGGTTGGGGAGCCCAAATGGGGGTTGGGGGACGCTAAATGGGGTTGTGGGACCCCAAATGGGGGTTGTGGGACCCCAAATGGGGGTTGTGGGACGCTGAATGGGGGTTGTGGGACCCCAAATGGGGGTTGGGGGACCCCAAATGGGGGTTGGGGGACCCCAAATGGGGGTTGGGGGACCCCAAATGGGGGTTGGGGGAGCCTAAATTGGACTGGGGACTCCAAATAGGGTCGGGACCCGAAATGCGGTTTGGGGGATCCTTAAATTAATGAGTTGAGACCCCCAAATGGGGGTTGTGGGACGCTGAATGGGGGTTGGGGGAGCCTAAATTGGACTGGGGACTCCAAGTAGGGTCGGGACCCCAAATGCGGTTTGGGGGATCCTTAAATTAAGAGTTGAGACCCCCAAATGGGGGTTGTGGGACCCCAAAATGAGGAACGCTAAGATTGGGGGGGCGTTTGAGGACCCCAAATGGGATTTTAGAGATGGGGGGACACACCCAATGGGGGTTTTGGGGGGACCCCCAGATAAGGGGGGGATTTCCATTCCCGTTCCCAGAAGGAAGAGCGAGTGTCGGAGCTCCGGCAGCAGCTCCAGGACCGGCAGCAGCTCCGCTCCCGCCGCCGTCCCTCCAACCCCTCGAGGGAGAACGGGGACAACAACCACTTCCCCCCGGGGCTGGGGGCACCCCCTGCAGCCCCCCCGGGCGGGGGAGGAACGACAGGACCCCCCTTCTACCAACCCAACCTGCCCCTCGTGCGTTGCCTCGTGTCGGAGCAGGCGGAGAAATTGGGACGCGGGAATTGCGACGGGAGCCGCGTCCACCTCCTCTACAAGTGACCCCCACCCCCCACCCGGGGCTAGGAGGGGGTTTGGGGGCTTAAATCAGGGCAGGGCATCAACAGTTAATTGTTCATGAGGGTTTTGGGGGGTCTCGGAGGTGGTTTTGGGGTGGTTTTGCCCTCCCTGGGATTCCGGGAATGCGGTGGTCATTGGGTGGGAGGGGTTTATATCAGGGGGTGGGGCCTCTTTGCGTCACTGCTGATGACGATTTTTGGGGGTAATTGTAGTGGTTTGGGGTGTTTTCCCCCCCTTTCCCAGAGTTCTGGGTGTTTTCCTGGAAGCGGGTGGGAAAGTGGGGTGGGAGGGGTTTATATCAGGGGGTGGGGCCTCTTTGCGTCATTGTTAATGACAATTTTTGGGGTAATTGTGGTGGTTTGGGGTGGTTTTCCCCCCCTTTCCCGGAGTTCTGGGTGTTTTCCTGGGATCGGGTGGAAAACTGGGATGGGAGGGGTTTATATCAGGGGGTGGGGCCTCTTTGTGTCATTGTTAATGACAATTTTTGGGGTAATTGTAGTGGTTTGGGGTGGTTTTCCCCCCCTTTCCCAGAGTTCTGGGCGTTTTCCTGGGATCGGGTGGAAAAGTGGGGTGGGAGGGGTTTATATCAGGGGGTGGGGCCTCTTTGCGTCACTGCTGGTGACGATTTTTGGGGTAATTGTAGTGGTTTGGGGTGGTTTCCCCCCCTTTCCCAGAGTTCTGGGTGTTTTCCTGGGATTGGGTGGGAAAAGTGGGTTGGGAGGGGTTTATATCAGGGGGTGGGGCCTCTTTGCGTCATTGTTAATGACGATTTTGGGGGTAATTGTGGTGGTTTGGGGTGGTTTTCCCCCCCTTTCCCAGAGTTCTGGGTGTTTTCCTGGAATCAGGTGGAAAAAGTGGGGTGAGAGGGGTTTAAATAAGAGGGAGGAGCAAGGGATGAGTTAAAAAAGCGGGAAGAGCCCCCCAAAATTCCCCAAGACCCCCCGGTCTCCTCTAGTCAAACCCCCCCAGTTATCCCACAAATCTGACAGTAATACCGTAAATCCCACAGCATTCCTATAATCCTACAGTTATCCCATAAAACCTAAGTTATATCCAAAACCCCCCTCACCCCCGTTTCCCAAAAACCTGACAATCATCCCCAAAAACCCCAGTTATCCCAAACACCTCACAGTTTTCCTACAGAAATCCTAAAGTCTCCCCATAAACCCCACAGCAACCCCATCAATGTCTACGCTCATCCCACAAATTCCACGCCGTTCCTGGTGCCTTCCCACTCCCTCTCTGCAATTCCCAAACATCCTCCCATCCCTTCCCCCTCTTCCCAATCCCGAGAATCCCCATAATCCCCTCTATTTCCCTGACCCTGGGATCCCATTCCCAGGGTTGTACTCCATGGGAATTCCCATAGTTTTAGGTCTGGGCTTTGTCTCCAAGCCCAGTTTTGAATCCAAGGCAGGGTGTTGTTCCCAATCCCTCGGGAACGGCACAGACCCCGAGGGTGGGGTTTTGGGACGAGGGTGGAGCCAGTGGGATCACCTGGATGGAATTCCACGCGTCCAGAGAATTCCCAAATTCCCAGACTGTTGTGTCTGGGTCCGGCCCCTCCTGTACAGTTGCACTTTACTGGGAAAACTGGACTCTTTTTCCTTCTTTCCAAATGTCCACGTGGTGTTTTTCAGGGAAGGGGTTTGGGAAAGAGCGGTCCTGGATTTTTGAGTGTTCTGGTTTTTTTGGGAGGGGAGCTTAGAATGAACACCCAAATATCCCTAAAAATGCTCCCAAAACACCCCGCCTCGAGACCCCAAATTCCAGGCACAAGGAATTCCCAGATCCCTGCGTTTTTGGGATGGGTTTGGAATAATCCCCAGGACACACAGAGAGGGGAGTCAGAGACCACCACGTGTGTTTATTTGGGGAGGGGTCTGCCCCCATCTCAGGGGGTTCTAACGGTTGGATTTGGCCACACGCTCCAGCTCGTCCTTCTTCTTGATAGCGTAGGAGTTGGAAGAGCCCTGGAAAAGTGGGAAAAGGGAACTTGGGGAGGAATTTGAGGGGTTTTGGGGGGTGTTTGGGAGGCCTGGGTGTTCATTCCAGCTAAGGGGGTTGGGTTGGGGGTGGTTTTGAGGGGAAAGTTTGGGGGATTTTTTTGGGGGGCGGTTTATTTGGGGATCCGGGGGGGATAGTGTTGGGATCTGGAGAAGGTTTTTTTGGGGTGGTTTCAAGGTGTTTTGGGGGTACCTTGGCCGCATTAATGAGCTCGTCAGCCAAGCACTCGGCGATGGTTTTGATGTTCCGGAAAGCCGCTTCACGGGCGCCCGTGCACAGGAGCCAGATGGCCTGGAATGGGAAAAAATGGGAATGAGGGTGGGGGGAAATTTGGGAATGGGGGAGGAACGGGGGGGACAGGGAGCCGGAAATGGGGTGTTGCAGGGCTTGGGTGATCCTGGCATGTGGAGATTTGAGATCAAGGAATCCGGGATCCCGGGATTTGGGGGATCTGCAATGGGGACACCTGGCTGACCCCGCACGGGCAGGGGACACCCCCATGGCCTGCCTGGGATTTGCGATGATTACCCCAGGATTTGGGGGGGATCCTGGGCATGCCGAGATTTGGGAATTCCAGGATTTGGTGATCCTGGGGCTGGGAGACCCCCAGGATTGGGGGAATTTTGGGATACCTGGTTGACCCTGCGCAGGGGGGACACGTCCACGGCCTGTCTCCGGACGGTGCCAGCGCGGCCGATCCGAGTCGAGTCCTCACGGGGGCCCGAGTTGATGATGGCGTTGACCAGCACCTGGAGGGGGTTCTGTGGGGAAAAAACCTGGCAATTCAGACCCTCCAGATCCCAAAACACCCCTTTCTGGATGCCAAAAAACCCCTCTCCTGAAACCCCAAAACCCCCCAAATGCCACGCCTTTCCCAGCTCCCGGAGCCGCGGCTTTCCCCCGCCCCGCCCGTATTCCCAACAACTCCCGGTGGAATTCCCACCTCCCCGGTGAGCAGGTGGATGATCTCGAAGGCGTGCTTCACGATCCTGACCGTCATGAGCTTCTTGCCGTTGTTCCTGCCGTGCATCATCATGGAGTTGGTGAGCCTCTCCACGATGGGGCACTGCGCCTTGCGGAAGCGCTTGGCCGCGTAGCGCCCGGCGCTGTGCGGGAGGTACTTGGCGTATTTCTCCTTCACCGCGATGTAATCCTGCCGGGAACAGCGGCAATTCCAGCCTTTCCGCCCCCCGGATCCATAGGGATGCAAAGACAAGCCTGGTGTGCTCCTCGGGAGCCTCCTCGGCCCAACTGGGATCTTTTTTTTTTCCTACTTTGAGTCCTTCTTTTCCCACTTTTTCCCACTCTATGCCCTTCTTTTCCCACTCTTCTCCCTCTCTGGATCTTCCTATTCCCACCTTTTCCCAACTCCAGATCCTTCTTTTCCCACTTCTTCCCACTCTACATCCTTTTCTCCCTCTTTTTCCCACTCCACACCCTTCTTTTCCCACTCTTCTCCCTCTCTGGATCTTCCTATTCCCACCTTTTCCCAACTCCAGATCCTTCTTTTCCCAACTCCACATCCTTCTTTTCCCACTCTTCTCCCTCTCTGGATCCTTCTTTTCCCAACTCCAGATCCTTCTTTTCCCACTCTTCTCCCTCTCTGGATCATTCTTTTCCCAACTCCAGATCCTTCTTTTCCCAACTCCACATCCTTCTTTTCCCACTCTTCTCCCTCTCTGGATCTTCCTATTCCCACCTTTTCCCAACTCCAGATCCTTCTTTTCCCACTCTTCTCCCTCTCCAGATCCTTCTTTTTCCACTTTTTACCTACCCTGAATCCTTCTTTTGCTGCTCTTCTCCTACTCTGGGATCCTTCTTTCCCCACTTTTTTCCTACTCCGGGTCCTTCTTTTCCCACCTTTTCCCTACTCTGGATCCTTCTTTTCCCACCCTTCTCCCTCACTGGATCCTTCTTTTGCTGCTCTTCTCCCACTCTGGATCCTTCCTCTCCCACCTTCTCCCTACTCTGGATCCTTCTTTCCCACCCTTTTCCCTTTTTTTTCCCACTCTGGATCCCCTCTCCCCCCTCAAACCCCCCTGTTTTCCTACTCTGGCTTCCTCTTTCCCACTCTGCATCCTCCTTTTCCCACTTTTTTCCTCCTCTGGATCCCCTTTTTCCCCCTCTGGGCCCCCCAGAACTCCGGGTCACCTGCAGGGAGATGTCGTTGATCTGCACATCATCCGTGCTCCACTTCCCAAAAAGTTTGATATCTGGAGTCTCGGTCACGGCCGGCGCCGTCTCCCAGTCGGTCATGCTGGAAAAACACATGGAAAAACATGGGATAAATGTGAGAAAAGGGGTTCGGAAAACGGGGTCACAATGGGATCCCCCCCCTTTCCCACTCTGAATCCCTCTTTTCCCTCTCTTTTCACAGGTTTTCCCACTGTGGATCTCTCTTTTCCCACTGTTATTCCCCCCTTTCCCAATCTGAATCCCTGTTTTCCCACTGTGGATCCCCCTTTTCCCTCAGTTTTATCCCCCTTTTCCCACACTTTTATCCCCCATTCCAACTCTCCTCCCTTCTCTTCCCCAAATCCCTCAACCAGGCAAATCCCGACCAAACCCTTTCAATTAAACCCCAGGAAAAACCCTCAGGATCCACTTCCCCTCCCCCCAACTCCCCCTTCAAGCCCCTTTTTTCCTCCCTTCCCCGCCATCTCCCAGGCCTCCAACCCCCCTAAACCCCCTCCCAGGACTCCCCCTCAGCCCCGATCCCATTTTCCCCCTCACAAATCCCATTTTCCCCCTCACAAATCCCACTTTTCCCCTCACAAATCCCACTTTTCCCCCCCCTTTCCCTCTCACATGGCGGCGCCTCCACCTCCGACCGCGAAAAGAGGAGCGCACGGGGCTTCCCAAGCTCTTATAGAAGGGCGCGGGGCTCGCTTCCGACTGCTCATGCGCAAACCTCAATATGACGCCACTCTTCCGCCCTTCCTGCCCTCCCTTCACCGCTCCTGGTCCGGCCTTCGACGCGCGTGAAGCCGCGGCCGCCATGTTTGTTGAGGGCGCTCGCCCACACGCCGCCATACTTGTTGAGGGCGCTCGGCCACAGGGGAGGCCGAGTGAAAACTCGCTATAAACACGCGTGGGAGGCACAAGGTGACCCTATGGAGGGGTAAAAACACGCGGGGAGGGACACGACGGAGTGGCGTCAGAGAGCCCCAAAGGCCTTCAGGGGGCTCTCGCGGGTGGACAGCGAAGCCATTGGCGGGGCCGTCTCCCATACACCAATCAAGAGCCGCGCAGCTCGTGAGGTCACCAGTTGCTAGGCAAATCTCGCGCGGGGGTTTTGGGGTGAAAAAGGCAGGAAAAGGGGCAAAGGAAAGTCGGGGACCCCCCTCTGGGTGGGGGATTGTCTCCCTCGTGTCACAGCCAACCCGAAAAATTGGTTCGTCACAAAATGACCATCTTTATTTCCACCTTTCGGGGGACGTTTTGTGGGGACATTTTGGGGAGGGTTGGGGGTTTTGGGGGGCTCGGAGTCCGTCACAGACGCGCTGTTGCCGTCCTGGGGGTCCTGGGGGGGTCCTCAGATGCTGCCTGAGGGAGGGGATGGGGGTGGCAGAAGGGAGAACATCCCCAGAGGGGCCAGGGACCCCTCATTTGGGGCCATTTGGGGGCATTTTGGGGCTATTTGGGGCGGGGGGATTTCCTTTACCTGCAGAGCTGTCACCTGGGAGGGGGGTGTAACCTGCAAACAGGGGGGGAAAGGGCGGTCAGGGGGGTGTTTGTCATCCCAAGACCACCCCCCTTGTGGCCCTTAAGGGTCTCACCTGGCTTTGGGAGCTTCTTCTGGTACCTCCAGAAGCCAAAGGCGAAGAGGAAGAGCCCCAAAATCATGGCCAGGGTAGCCAAGGCCACCAGCAGAGACAGCCGTGGGGCCAGGCCTGGAGCTGGGGAGATATTGGGGGTTTAGGGGGTTTCGGGGTTAGAGGGGATTTGGGGGGCTGGGAGTGGCTTAGGAGGGCGGTTGGGGGCATTTTAGGGAGGGTTGGGGGAGGTTGGAGGAGTCTGGGAGGGTTTGGGGGTTCTGAGGGGATTGTGGGGGGCCCTGGGAGGGTTTTGGGGAGCCTGTGAGGGGGTTTGGGCATTGCAGGGGGATTATGGGGGAAATGGGGGGGTCTGGGAGGGTTTGTAGGGGGTTTTTAGGGGTGCTGGGAGGGGTTATGGGGGGAGCTTTAGGTGTCTTACAGACTTTTTGGTGGGTTCTGGGATGATTTTGGGAGGGGTGGATGAGATTTTTGAGGTGAACCTTTGGGGGTTCTGGGAGGGTTTGAGGGGTCCTGGGTGGGGTGGGTGGTACCACGGTCTTTGGGGTGGGATGTCTTTGGTGGGTTCTGGGATGATTTTGGGAGGGGTAGATGAGATTTTTGAGGTGAACCTTTGGGGGTTCTGGGAGGGTTTGAGGGGTCCTGGGGGGGGTGGGGTACCACGGTCTTTGGGGTGGGATGTCTTTGGTGGGTTCTGGGAATATTTGAAGGTGTTCTGGGAGGATTTGGAGCGACTTCACCCACCCCAATCCTCCAGGAGGGGCTGCTGGAGGCTGGGGTGCTGCACCGAGCACGTGAAGGTGTCCCCGGGCTCGGGGGGCGGCACCTCGAGGGTCCCCTCGCTCCTGTAGGTCCAGCTCCCCATCGGGACAATCGGGGGGGTCCCGGGGGGGCCCTGGGGGTCGTCCAGGAGCAACCCGTTCCTGAGCCAGGCGAGGTTCAGCTCGGGGGGGTAAAAGCCCCACACGTGGCACGTCAGGACGAGGGGGGTCCGGGCGTTTCCCGTCGCCGAGGGGACGACGCGGATTTTGGGAGGCACTGGATAAAGGGGGGTGGGGGAGTAGGATGAGGTCATGGAGAGCTCATTTCCCCCCCCAGAACCACCCCCAGCCCCATGAAATCCCCTGTTCCCAATCCCCCCCCCCATAAACCTCATGGGGGGCCTCAATTCCCATGCCCTGTTCCCAAATCTTCCCATGGAATCCTCCCCATAAAGCCCCGCATTCCCAATTCCCCCATTCCCAAATCTTCCCAATGGAATCCTCCCCATAAAGCCCCAATTCCCCCATTCCCAAATCTTCCCAATGGAATCCTCCCCATAAAGTCCCAATTCCCCCATTCCCAAATCCCCCCAGTGGAATCCTCCCCATAAAGCCCCAATTCCCCCATTCCCAAATCCCCCCAATGGAATCCTCCCCATAAAGCCCCAATTCCCCCATTCCCAAATCCCCCCAATGGAATCCTCCCCATAAAGCCCCGCATTCCCAATTCCCCCATTCCCAAATCCCCCCAATGGAATCCTCCCCATAAAGCCCCGCATTCCCAATTCCCCCATTCCCAAATCCCCCCATGAACTCACCCCTAAAAAAAAAAAAACAACCCCAATTCCCCCCCAACGGATTAAAAACCCCCAAATCCCCCCCATTTCCCAATCCCCCCCCGTGGAATTCCTTCCATAAAATCCCCCATTCCCAATTCTCTCATTCCCAATCTCCCCATATCCCCTGCAACCCCCTCCAATCCCCCCCAGTCCCTGCCCCAAACTCTCACCTCTCCTCAGGGCCGTGTCCCCCCACACTTTTGGGGGCAGTTGGGTGCACACCCCCCCCCTTTTTTGGAGCCTCTCCCCCCAGCGGGGGTCCCCGTTGAGGGTATCGGCCAGTTTGGCCCCCACCTTCTCCAGGGGTCCCCCCCCTGCGCAGGGCACGAATTTGGGGGGACCCTGGGGGTCCACGCAGACCAGGGGGAGCTTGTTGAAGAGGAGGGTGAGGCCGAAGGAGCCGTTGGTGGCCACCACTGGGCACTCGCTGGCCACCTGGACCACGAAGGTGTCTGGGGGAAGAGGATTTGGGGGGATTTGGAGGGGATTTGGAGCCCGGAGGTTTGGGGGCCCCCCCCCCCCCAAACCCACCTCTTGCCCCCATAAAACGAATCCCCCTCAAACCTTCCCCTTGTTCCCTCCCCCCAAAAAATCCGGGGTCCCACAGGACTGAGCCCACCCAAAACGCCCCAGAAATCTCTCCCAAAGTTTTCGCCCCCTTCCCAAATCCCACCTGCGTGGGGGGTCCCGAGGACCAGGACGAGCAGCACCAACATCCCGGGCTCTGCCGAGTCGGGCCGTGCTCTGAGACCCTCCCGGACCCCCCCCCGGCAGCTCGGACCAAGCCTTTAAGCCCCGCCCATGGGCGGGAGGGCCCCTGGGACACCCAATGAGCGAGGGCGGCCGAGGCGCGTCACCAGTTGCGGGGCAGGACTCGCCCGAGGCCGCCGCTGGCCGGACTTAGGCCGGGACTGGGAACACCGTCAGGACCGGGACCAGGACTGGGATCGGGATCAGGATCAGGACCGTGACCGGGACTAGGGATTGGGATCAGGATCAGGACCGTGACCGGGACTAGGGATTGGGATCAGGATCAGGACCGTGACCGGGACTAGGGATTGGGATCAGGACTGGGATCAGGACCGGGATCAGGATCAGGACCGTGACCAGGACTAGGGATCGGGATCAGGACCGGGATCAGGATCAGGACCGTGACCAGGACTAGGGATCGGGATCAGGATCGGGATCAGGATCAGGATCAGGACCGTGATCAGGACTAGGGATCGGGATCGGGACCGGGATCAGGACTAGGGATTGGGATCAGGACCGGGATCAGGATCAGGACCGGAATCAGGACTAGAGTAGGATCAGAGACCAGGGATCGGGATCAGGACCGTGACCAGGACTAGGGATTGGGATCAGGACCGGGATCAGGATCAGGAGTGGGATCAGGATCAAGATCAGGACCGTGACCAGGACTAGGGATCGGGATCAGGACCGGGATCGGGATCAGGACCGTGACCAGGACTAGGGATCGGGATCAGGACCGGGATCAGGATCAGGACCGGGATCAGGATCAGGACTGGGATCAGGACTAGAGATTGGGATCAGGACTGGGATCAGGATCAGGACCGTGACCAGGACTAGGGATCGGGATCAGGACCGGGATCGGGATCAGGATCAGGATCAGGACCGGGATCAGGACTAGGGATCGGGATCAGGACCGGGATCAGGATCAGGACTGGGACCGGGATCAGGATCAGGACTGGGACCGGGATCAGGATCAGGACTGGGATCAAGACCAGAACTGGGATCAGGACCGGGACCAGGACCAGGACTGGAGAAGCCACCAGTGGATCACATGCCACCTTTCCCCAGTGGGAAAACTCTGGGAATGGCTCTGGAACGGGATAAATCTCAAGATCAGCCACCGGTGGATCACATGCCACCCTTCCCAGTGGAAAAACTGGGATACAGATCCCACCATTTCCAGCTGGGAATGGCTCCTGAACGGGACAAACACATGAGGACACGAGCTCAGCCGTAACCAAAGGTGGAGTTTATTAGGAATGGTGGGAATTGGAGGTCAGGAACATCCAAGTTCTTTCCCCCCTCCCCTCCAAATTCCCACATGGAGCTTCTCCCTCCTCTGCTCAGCCTGTGGGAGGGGACACAAAGAGAGGGGTTGAGGACATTCCTGAGGCTCCTCCTTCCCCCTCCTCGGGGATCCCCCAAAACGTACCTTGGGGATCCGTCCGGGAAAGCAGGAGCAGGGAGAGCCCCAGGAGTGCCAGGACCCCCCCGAGCGCCATCGCAGCCCCACAAAGCACCATCGGCAGCTCCGGCACCTCCAGAGGCTCTGGGGGCACTGTGGGAACGGGAGAGGCAGCGGGATGTGGGTTGGGATTGGGGAGCAGGAGCGGGATGGGGACAAGGACCGGGATCAGGAGCAGGATCAGGATCAAAACCGGGACAAGGACTACAACCAGGACCGGGACTGGGATCAGGAGCAGGGCCTGGATCAGATCCAGGATCAGGACAGGAACCAGGATCAGGATTAGGGACCCAGACTAGGATCAGAACCAGAACCAGGACTGAGAACAGGACCAGAACTGGGACTGGGAACAGGACCAGGATTAGGGACCCAGACTAGGATCAGAACCAGAACCAGGACTGAGAACAGGATCAGAACTGGGACTGGGGTCAGGACCAGGACCCTCCCCCCCCCAGGGTGTCCCCCCCATGCTCTGGTGCCCCCCTCTCACCCCAGTAGGTGACCACCGAAGTGTTGTACCCCTGAGGGGTCACCAGGCAGGCGAAGACGTCCCCACGCTCCGGGGTCACTTCCAGGTGGGACAAGGTCCAGAAGGTGAGCTCCGGGGTGGGAGTGAAGGGCCCCTGAGTGACCCCCTGGGTGAGGGGGACACCCCCCCGGGTCCAGGTGATGTCCAGGGCCGGTGGGAAGACATTCTCCACCAGGCACACCAGGGTGTTGGCCTCGCCCAGCGCCGGTGGCAGCACCGGGAACACCTGGGCCACCGGCGTTCCTGCGGGGATTGCATCCCGTAAAAATGGTGGGATGGGACCTTTTGGAGGTCCCATCCCAAAGGGACATCCCACCCTGATTCCTGGCCTTGGGGGTGCTCCAGGGATGGGGGAACCTCCAATCCCGGTCTCGTGGTTGAGCTTTTGCTGAAGCCAGAGGTTTTTATGAATCTGGGTTTTTTTCCATGCCTAAGTTTTTTCCATTCCCAATTCCCGTCCATCCCCAAGTCCCTCTATCCCTTTCATCCCCCAAGTTCTTCCATCCTTCCATCCCCAAGTTCTTCCATCCTTTCCATCCCCAAGTTCTTCCATCCTTCCATCCCCCAAGTTCTTCCCTCGTCTCCATCCCTTTCACCCCCCAGTTCTTCCATCCCTAAGTTCTTCCATCCCTTCCATCCCCCAAGTTCTTCCCTCGTCTCCATCCCTTCCATCCCCAAGTTCTTCCATCCTTCCATCCCCAAGTTCTTCCCTCGTCTCCATCCCCAAGTTCTTCCATCCTTCCATCCCCAAGTTCTTCCATCCCCCAAGTTCTTCCATCCCCAAGTTCTTCCATCTTTCCATCCCTTCCATCCCCCAAGTTCTTCCATCCCTTCCATCCCCAAGTCCTTCCCTTGTCTCCATCCCTTCCATCCCCAAGTTCTTCCATCCCTTCCATCCCCCAAGTTCTTCCATCCTTCCATCCCCAAGTTCTTCCATCTTTCCATCCCCAAGTTCTTCCATCCTTCCATCCCCAAGTTCTTCCATCCTTCCATCCCCAAGTTCTTCCCTCGTCTCCATCCCTTCCATCCCCCAAGTTCTTCCATCCTTCCATCCCCAAGTTCTTCCATCTTTCCATCCCCAAGTTCTTCCATCCTTCCATCCCCAAGTTCTTCCCTCGTCTCCATCCCTTCCATCCCCAAGTTCTTCCATCCCCAAGTTCTTCCCTCGTCTCCATCCCTTCCATCCCCAAATCCTTCCCTCGTCTCCATCCCCAAGTTCTTCCATCTTTCCATCCCCAAGTTCTTCCATCCCTTCCATCCCCAAGTTCTTCCATCCTTCCATCCCCAAGTTCTTCCATCCTTCCATCCCCAAGTTCTTCCCTCGTCTCCATCCTTTCCATCCCCAAGTTCTTCCATCCTTCCATCCCCCAAGTTCTTCCCTCGTCTCCATCCCTTCCATCCCCAAGTTCTTCCATCCTTTCACCCCCAAGTTCTTCCATCCTTCCATCCCCAAGTTCTTCCATCCTTCCATCCCCAAGTTCTTCCATCCTTCCATCCCCAAGTTCTTCCATCCCTTCCATCCCCAAGTTCTTCCATCTTTCCATCCCCAAGTTCTTCCATCCCTTCCATCCCCAAGTTCTTCCATCCCTTCCATCCCCAAGTTCTTCCATCCCTTCCATCCCCAAGTTCTTCCATCCCTTCCATCCCCCAAGTTCTTCCCTCGTCTCCATCCCTTTCACCCCCAAGTTCTTCCATCCCCAAATTCTTCCATCCTTCCATCCCCAAGTTCTTCCCTCGTCTCCATCCCTTCCATCCCCAAGTTCTTCCCTCCCTTCCACCCCCAAGTTCTTCCATCCTTTCCACCCCCAAGTTCTTCCATCCTTCCATCCCCAAGTTCTTCCATCCTTCCATCCCCAAGTTCTTCCCTCGTCTCCATCCCCAAGTTCTTCCCTCGTCTCCATCCCTTCCATCCCCAAGTTCTTCCATCCTTCCATCCCCAAGTTCTTCCATCCTTTCCATCCCCAAGTTCTTCCATCCTTCCATCCCCAAGTTCTTCCATCCTTCCATCCCCCAAGTTCTTCCATCCCCAAGTTCTTCCATCCCTCCCATCCCCCAATTTCTTCCATCCTTCCACCCCCACCTTCTTAGGGGGACACCTGGACACGGATCCACGGACCTGGGGGTGCCACCCCCCACCCCCCACCCCCATCTTCCACCCCCACCCAGCGGGACAGAGCTCCACCCGACCCCTCCCCTGCCTTTGTCACCAACCCTGGCCTCGGGCAGGACCCCCTGGCCTGGGGGCCGAGCCAGCCCAGGACATCCTGGCACAGCTTCACGTCCAGGCGCAGCTCCGCTGGGGTCTCCAGGTCCGGGGGCAGCGGGGGCAGCTCCGGGAGCCCCGGGAGCCACCGGATCCCGGGAAGTCGAAGCCGTAGAGTCGCTGCCCGTCCAAGGTGAGGGAAAGGTCCAGGGAAGGGGTGTCCCGTTGGCAGGTGAGGACCTCAGCCAGGAGGTGGGAGGGGGCTCTGGGGGGACAGGGGGAGTTGAGGGGGTTTGAGGGGATTTGGGGGATTTTGGGGATTTGGAGGGTCCTGAAGGATACGCAGGGGGAAATGCGGAATCTGGGGGGATATGAGGGAGTCTTGGGAGGATCTGGATGGGAATTGGGGTAGTTTGGGGGTCCTGGGGCGTCTGGGGGAACTGGGGATTTTGGGGAGGATTTGAGGGGTCCTGGGGGATTTTGGGGTAGTTGGGGGAGTTTATGGGGATTTGGGGAGGATTTGGGGGGATTTGGAGTAGTTGGGGAGTTGCTGGGATTGGGGAGGATTTGAGGGTTTAGGAGTGCTGGATGGGATGGAGTAGTTTGAGGGTTTGAGGTTTAGGGGAGGAAAAAAAGGAGAAGAAAAAGGGGGAGAAAAGAGGAAGAAAAAAGGAAGAAAAGGGGAGGAAAAAAAGAGGGAAGGAAGAGGGAACAGGAAAAGGGAAGAGAGAAAGGAGAGGAAGGGGGAACAGGGAAGGAGGTGCAGGCAGGGGTACAGGCAGGATTTAGGGAGATAACCCGAGGTACAGGCAGGGATTTAGGGAGGATAACCCGAGGTACAGGCAGGGATTTAGGGGGATAACCTGAGGTACAGGCAGGGTCAGGCAGATTTAGGGGGATAACCCGAGGTACAGGCAGAGGTACAGGCAGGGATTTAGGAGGATAACCCGAGGTACAGGCAGGGATTTAGGGGGATAACCTGAGGTACAGGCAGGGATTTAGGGGGATAACCTGAGGTACAGGCAGGGATTTAGGGGATAACCTGAGGTACAGGCAGGGATTTAGGGGATAACCCGAGGTACAGGCAGGGATTTAGGGGGATAACCCGAGGTACAGGCAGAGGTACAGGCAGGGATTTAGGGGGATAACCTGAGGTACAGGCAGGGATTTAGGGGATAACCTGAGGTACAGGCAGGGATTTAGGGGGATAACCGAGGTACAGGCAGAGGTACAGGCAGGGATTTAGGGGATAACCCGAGGTACAGGCAGGGATTTGGGGGATAACCCGAGGTACAGGCAGGGATTTAGGGGGATAAGCCCAGAGGTACAGGCAGGGTTTAGGGGATAACCCGAGGTACAGGCGGGATTTAGGGGGATAACCCAAGGTACAGGCAGGGATTTAGGAGGATAACCCGAGGTACAGGCAGAGGTACAGGCAGGATTTAGGGGATAACCAGAGGTACAGGCAGGGAGTTTAGGGGATAACCCGAGGTACAGGCAGAGGTACAGGCAGGATTTAGGGGGTTACCTGAGGTACAGGCAGAGGTACAGGCAGGATTTAGGAGGATAGCCTGAGGTACAGGCAGAGGTACAGGCAGGGTTTGGGGATAACCTGAGGTACAGGCAGGGATTTAGGGGGATAAGCCGAGGTACAGGCAGAGGTACAGGCAGGGATTTAGGGGGATAACCCGAGGTACAGGCAGGGATTTAGGGGATAACCCGAGGTACAGGCAGAGGTACAGGCAGGGATTTAGGGGATAACCCGAGGTACAGGCAGGGATTTAGGGAGGATAACCTGAGGTACAGGCAGGGGGTACAGGCAGGGATTTAGGGGGGATAACCCGAGGTACAGGCAGGGATTTAGGGGGGATAACCCGAGGTACAGGCAGAGGTACAGGCAGGGATTTAGGGGGGATAACCCGAGGTACAGGCAGAGGTACAGGCAGGGATTTAGGGGGATAACCCGAGGTACAGGCAGGGATTTAGGGGGATAACCCGAGGTACAGGCAGGGATTTAGAGGGGATAACTCGAGGTACAGGCAGAGGTACAGGCAGGGATTTAGGGGGATAACCCGAGGTACAGGCAGGGATTTAGGGGGATAACCCGAGGTACAGGCAGGGATTTAGGGGGATAACCCGAGGTACAGGCAGAGGTACAGGCAGGGATTTAGGGGGATAACCCGAGGTACAGGCAGGGATTTAGGGGGATAACCCGAGGTACAGGCAGGAGATTTAGGGGGGATAACCCGAGGTACAGGCAGGGATTTAGGGGGGGATAACCCGAGGTACAGGCAGGGATTTAGGGGGGATAACCCAAGGTACAGGCAGGGATTTAGGGGGGATAACCCGAGGTACAGGCAGAGGTACAGGCAGGGATTTAGGGGGGATAACCCGAGGTACAGGCAGGGATTTAGGGGGGATAACCCGAGGTACAGGCAGAGGTACAGGGAGGGATTTAGGGGGGGTTACCCGAGGTACAGGCAGAGGTACAGGCAGGGATTTAGGGAGGATAACCCGAGGTACAGGCAGAGGTACAGGCAGGGATTTAGGGGATAACCTGAGGTACAGGCAGGGATTTAGGGGGATAAGCCGAGGTACAGGCAGAGGTACAGGCAGGATTTAGGGGGATAACCTGAGGTACAGGCAGGGATTTAGGGGGATAACCTGAGGTACAGGCAGAGGTACAGGCAGGGATTTAGGGGGGATAACCCGAGGTACAGGCAGGGATTTAGGGGGGATAACCCGAGGTACAGGCAGGGGGTACAGGCAGGGATTTAGGGGATAAACCTGAGGTACAGGCAGGGATTTAGGGGGATAACCCGAGGTACAGGCAGGGGTACAGGCAGGGATTTAGGGGGATAACCGAGTACAGGCAGAGGTACAGGCAGGGATTTAGGGGGATAACCCGAGGTACAGGCAGAGGTACAGGCAGGGATTTAGGGGGATAACCGAGGTACAGGCAGAGGTACAGGCAGGGATTTAGGGGGATAACCGAGGTACAGGCAGAGGTACAGGCAGGGATTTAGGGGGATAACCCGAGGTACAGGCAGAGGTACAGGCAGGGATTTAGGGGGGATAACCCGAGGTACAGGCAGGGATTTAGGGGGGATAACCCGAGGTACAGGCAGAGGTACAGGCAGGGATTTAGGGGGGATAACCCGAGGTACAGGCAGAGGTACAGGCAGAGGTACAGGGAGGGGTACAGGCAGCCAGGTGCGGGTAGGAGCTCACCCCCTCCCCCTCCCACCCCCAAACCAGTCCCTTCTCCCTCCCTCCCTCCTCTCCCCCCTTCCCCTTCCTCCTACCAGGGGTGACGGCAGCGGCGAACCCCAAAACCCCTGAACAGCGGGGCCAGAAGCCCCAAAAACTGCCACCCATCCCCTCGCCCCGAAGCCACAGTTGGGGTGGGGGGAACCCCACCCACGACCTCCGCAAACCCTCCCAAAAACTCCTCCCCATCCTCCCCCAAAAACCTCTTCCCAAACTCCCCCCCCTCCACCCGCCCCCCCGGGACGCGCTGACCAATGGCAGCGCTCCGTTCGAGTACGTCACTTGTTGCCGGGTAGAGAAGCGTCGAGTAGAGCACGGTTGAGGTGACAGAGGCGTGGAAGTCACCGAGAGGGGGACAATCATCCCAAAAACCCCCCCAAACTTAAAGTGGTGACGTCACGGTGGTTAATTAAGTGGTGTCGTGGTAATTAAGGGCGCGGGGCCCCCACACCTCCCACTTCACCTGAGCCCCCCCACGGGTGCCAGTGGGGCACTCCTGGGATGTCGCGGACCCCCGTGGGGTCACCCTGGATATTCGGGACCCCTAACTCCCCCGTGGGTGCCCCCCCAGGGACCCCCCGCCGTGGGTGCCTACCACACCCTCGCACCTCGTCTGACGCCCCCACAGATCCCAGCGCTGCCTCCCCCGTGGGGTCACCTTTGGAATGTCGTGGACAACCCCTGGAATGTCGTGGGATCCCCCTGGGCCCCCACTCAAAGACAACACCACGGGTGGGACCCCCACTCAGCGCAGGACGCACTGCGCATGCGCGGGGCACTAAGACCCCCCCCCACAGAGCCCCTCGGGGGGGCGTGGTCACGTGTCCACGAGTAGCCAATCACGCCGCGGGTGACGTAGCGCGCGGCTCCCTTTTCTGCCCCGGGATGATTTTTTTTTTTTTTGGTGGTTTTTTTTTCACCTTTTTTTTTTTGCCCCCAAAACGGGGCTTTTCGGGGAGGAGGGGCGCGGATGAAGCGGGGTTCGCGGGGGTCGCGGCCCGGCGTGGAGACCCCTCAGGTGAGTGATTTCTCGGGGAGTTTTGAGGGGGGGGCCGTGAGGGGCGGGGCAAGTTACGTGAGGGGGGCTGACGAGCCGTCAATCAATCAAGCGATGCCCGCCCACCGGACCTCACTTCAGCCAATGGGAGGCGCGGGTCACCTTGAGTGACAGCTGGGGGGGGCGGTCCCGGCTTTGTGCGCTGGTTTGGGGCGAAAAGCGCCATTTTTGGGTGCTCGCGCGGGGGCGGCAGCGGCGGGCGCGGCCCCAAGTGCTGTGTCACAGCCTTTTGGGGGGGGTGGGGTGGGGCAGGGAGGATTCGAAGTGGGACTCGGAGACCTCCACGAACAGCGTGGAGTTCGGAGGGGGGAGTACAAGGCTGGGAAGAATTGAAGGAGGCGAACCCCTTTCCGCTCAGTGAAGGGGTTTGGGGTGATGTCGTGCGGGGGAGCGGACGCTGAGCCCCCTCCCGCGAGCGCGGGGCCCCTCAGGGTTGCGGGGTGAGAGGTGGTGGGGGGGAGGGGTTTATTGCCGCTTAACCCTGGCTGGCGGCCCCGGCAGCGGGGCGTTCGTGGGGGTCGTGGTGTCCCGCGTGTGGCCAAGGAGGCGGTGGCGACCCCCGGGAACCAGTGGAGAGCGGAGCGCGCGGGGGCTGCGCGGTGCGTGGCGCGTTGGGGCGGGGGTGCGCGGGTCAAGCGGGTGATAAGGAGTTCGCGTGCGCCGCGAGGGGGTGAGGGAGGAACGGGGCGGGGGTCCCCACAGCGCTCGGTGGAGCGGAGGAGAAGGGAGGAACACGGAGGGGCCGCCCGTCAGGGCCACGCTCATTGTCCGCCCGCCCGCGGCCGCCGCCATTCAAGATGGCGGCCCCTTCTTCCCCCTCCTCACCGCAGCGCCAACCGCCGCCCTTCTCCCCGCCCACCGCGCTGCCCTTCGGCCAATCAGCGCGCGGCTGGCCGCGGCGCTGACCAATGGTCGTTGAGGGCGCCGCCCGCTCTCAAAGAAGGCGCCGTGCGGAAAAGCCGTGGGGGGGGGTGGGGCCGCGTGTGGGAGGGAGGGGTGATTGACGCGGCGTTCTGCTAATGAGAGCGCGGCACTGGGATTGCCACCGCCCAATGAGGCCGCGGCTGGGCGGGGAGGGGCGGGTTCATGACGTCAGCGGCCCCGGCTGCCAATCGGGAGGCCGGTCGCGTCTATATAAGGGCGGGCGGGGGCAGGCCGAGCGGCGCCATTTCGCGGTGGACGAGGGGAGAGAGCTGGTCCGGCCGCCGGCAGGGAGAGAGAGCGCGCAGAGGGGCGGCCCCTTAAAAAAAAAAAAACAACCAACAACCAACCTCTCTCGGCTCCATCCCCCCGGAGGAGCTTCGAGGGGGGGAGACTCTCCCCGGCCTCCGCAGCGACCCCTGCCTGCGGCCACCGGCGGCGAGCGGCCGCCTCCTCCTTCCCCCCCCACCTCCCTCAGCGAGCCAAGATGGAGCGCGGCCGCTGATCCCGCCGATCCGCTGTCATCCGCCGGCCTTCCCGCGGCTCAGCGCTTCGTCTGCGGTCCTTGCGGGTGCTCCGGGCTCCGAGCGACTCGCCGAGGCTTGTATCGAGCGCGTCGCGAAGGGTTTGTGCCTCTCGGTGAAGCTCCAAAGAGGGGACCCCCTCCCTTCCAGTATCCCCCCCGTTACATCCCATCAGCGTCCGCCGCCATTTTCGCCGCGCCTGTGGATGTTGAGGCCGTGGGAGGGTCCAGGCGTCGCCTCCTGAGGGAAAATTAATTAAATAGAGGAAAAGGGGGGGCTCCTGGCTCGCCTGCCGACCCCCTCCCCGTCCTCATCCCGCCGGGGATGCGCTGACGGGGGGGGGCCCCCACCGGGCCGCGAGCGGCGGAGCTTTGGCCGGGCAAAGTGGGGGGCTCGTCGGAGGAGACGGCGGGAGGAGGAGGAGGAGGAGGAGGAAGAAGAGGAGCCGAGGGCCCACGGGCTGCGCACGGAGCCGTCGGGATGTTGCAGAATGTGAATCCCCAGAGCAAGTAGGTGCTTTGTTGGCGGGTAGGGGGGGGGGGGAAATAAAGGGGTTTTGGGGCGGGAAGGGCGTGTTTTGGGGTGGTGAGATGGCAACTGTGACAGTCATTGTGGGACCCCCGCTTCGTGACAGCGGCACTGTGGGAGCCCTACAGGGTGGGACTCCCGTGCTGTGACAGTGTCATTGCAGGACCCCCCGTGCGGTGGGACTCCTAAATTGTCACTGTGAGCACCCCAAGCTGTGACAATGTCTCTGTGGGACCCCCATGTTGTGACGCCGTAGGACCCCCTAAGCCATAACAGTGCCATTTTGTGGGACTCCCCACGCGGTGGGACCCCCCAGGTTGTGTCATCCCAACACGGTGGGGACCCCCCACAGGGTGTGACCCCTACACTGCGACCCTGCGGGAGCCTCGTGCTGTGACAGTGACGTTGTGGAACCCCCCCCCCAAGCTATGCCAGTGGCCTTTGGGGGGGCCACCCATCCTTGTCACATTGGGCAGACTGCTGGGGGTCACCCAGAGGTCAGCTCAGGGGAAAAAAAAGGGGGTTCCAGCCTCCCTAAAATTTAGCTGAGCTGGGGGAGAGGCTGGAGAGCTTGTCCAGGAGCTGGTTGTGGGAAGAGCTGGAATTCTGGGGGAGTCCTGGGAGTCCCTGAAGCTTTGGAATCAGTGTCCTGGGGGGTCCCTGTTCTGGCAACCGCCCCAAACCTTGGTGTTGGTGTCCTGGGGGTTCTTGTTATGTGGAAACTCCCCTAAAGGTTGGTGGTGGTGTCCCAGGGGTCCCCATGGCCACTGTGTCATTTCCTGGTTTGTTTTCCATCGTTTTCCTATTCTCTCGATATTTCGGGATCCTCAGAGCCTTCATTGCTATGAAATGTTGATTATTGCTCTAAAATGCTGATTTTTCCCAGAAATAAGTGAACTGCTGGGAGCTTGTGGACAGAGTCCTGGGGGTTTGTGGCTGTAATCCATGGGAACTCACGAGTGGGTTCCATATTCTTTCATGGCAGAATCCGTGGGGGTTTGGCTTTGAACTTCCTGGGAGTTCGTGGCCAGAATTCCTGGGGGATCGTGGCTGAAATCCATGGGAGCTCCTCAGCAGAATCCATGGGGGATCCTGTCTGAAATTCCCGGGAGTTCATGGCCAAAATTCATGGGAGTTCATGGCCAAAATTAATGGGAGTTCATGGCCAAAATCCGTGGGAGCCCACGGGCAGTGTCCATGGGGGTTCATGGCCAGAATTCCCATGGGAACTTCCCCTGCATCCCAAAGATCTGGACAGTGGTAGTGGCCCGGATAGCAGCTCAAGGAGCAGTCTCAGCTCCTTCCGGGATTCTCTCCCAGGAATTCTGGGAAGCGGATCCATCTCCCTTTTCCCTTAACCCCTGTGTGTCTCCTCCCCTCCCTGCAGGATCTTGGGGGAGGGCAATGCCAGGTGGCTGAAATTCGTGGGAGCTCCTGGGGTGAATCCATGAGGATTCGCGATTGAAATTCCCGCGAGTTCACGTCTGGAATTCCTGGGGGTTTCATGGCAAAATCCATGGAGGTTCAGGGCTGAAATTCCTGGGAATTCATGGCCAGGGTTTGTGACTGGAATCCATGGGAGCTCCTGGGCAGAATCCATGGGGATTCACGGCAAAATCCGTGGCACTTCACAGCTGAAATCCCTGGAATTTCACGGCTGGACTTCCTGGGGGTTTTTATTGCCAAATCTATGCGGGTTCAGGGCCGAAATTCCGAGGGGTTCCTGGAAAGAATTCCTGGGGGAATATGAGCAGAATCCATGGGAGTTCAGGGCTGAAATTCCCAGGAGTTTGTGGCCAGAATCCCTGGGGTTTCATGGCCAGAATTCCCCCTCATCCCCAAAGACCTGGACGGTGGTGACGGGAACGCGGTCTGGGCGCCGCTTTCAGCTTCTCCCGGGATTCCACCCCTGAATCCCAGGTGTCCTCCCCTCCCTCGCAGGCTCCTGGGGGAGGGCAATGCCGGGCTCATGGCACTGGCGACGCCCACGGAGTCGACTCCCGGGAAGCGGATCCGCAAACCCTCGCTGCTCTACGAGGGCTTCGAGAGCCCCACCATGGCCTCTGCTCCGGCCCTTCCCAACCCTCAGGCCAACCCGCCGCCTCCCGAGGTTTCCAACCCCAAAAAACCCGGCCGGCTCACCAACCAGCTCCAGTACCTGCACAAGGTGGTGATGAAGGCGCTGTGGAAGCACCAGTTCGCGTGGCCCTTCCGCCAGCCCGTGGACGCTGTCAAGCTGGGCCTGCCGGTAATTCCTGAGGGCGGGAATTCCGCGTGGGTGTGCGACCCCCTCCCCTCCCCCTTCCTCCCCCCAGTCCTTTATCCCACTCAGGCAGAGGTAGATCCAGCTTTAATCCTGCTCGGCCACAGGTGTCACCCCGTTATCCCATCCTACATCCACCCCCTGGGGCTCCCGCTATCCCAGAGGAGGGATCCTTGATGTCCCTACAAAGTTATGGATGAGGGGATATTCCTGGCGCTTCCCGACCTAATCTCTTGTGCCCTGAATGCGTTTTGCAGATGTCTCCCATCCATGAGTTTGTAGAAGACATCTCGAGGCCCCCAAATTTAAGGCACCTGTGGCGCCCAAGGAGTTAAAGCCCGAGGAGGTAAATTCTGACCGGAGGGGTTGCTCTTCCTGATTGGCTTAAGCTCGGCTTAAGCCCAGCTTAAATTGCCCCCTGAAATTAGGTTTTTAATTGCCCTTCAGTTCACCTTTAGTTTAGGTTCAGTTCGGTGTAAATTTGGCTTAAATTCACCCTGGATTTATTTCAGTTTATGTTTAAATTTAGGTTCCCGGTGAGTTTAGCTTTAACTCACCTTGAGTTTAGCTTAAATTCACCTGAAGTTTAGCTTTAATTCGTCTTAAGTTTAGCTTAAATTCGCCTCAAATTTGGTTTCAATCCATGTTAAATTTAGCTTAAATCCATCTTAAGTTTAGCTCGAATTCAGCTTTTGTTTAGCTTAAAGTTGGCTTGAATTTGGCTTAAAACCACCTTAAACTTCAATTTATGTTAAGTTTAGTTTAAGTTCACCTTACATTTAACTTAAATCCACTTCCAGTATGGCTTTAATTCCCCTTGAGTTTAATCTTAATTCAGCATAACTTCAGCTTAAATTTAGCTTAAATTCAGCATAAAAGCACTTTAGATGTAGCTTGGATTCAGTTTGAATTTAGTTTAAATTTGCTGTAAGTTCAGTTTCAATTTGCCTGAGTTTAGCATAAGTCAGTTTGAATTTAGCTTAAGCTCAGCTTAAATTCTTCTTAAGTTTATTTTAAATCTGGGCTCAGTTTAGCTTCGATTCACTTTGAATTTAGGTTCAGTTTACTTCAAGTTCATCTTAAATTTGTCCTAAACCGAGTTTACATCCACCTCGAGTTTAGCTTAAACTTCCCTAGAATTTGCCTTAAATTCCCTTTAAATTCAGCTCAAATCCCTCCTAAATCCCCTTAAATTCCCACTCCCAGCTGCTCCCACCTCTCTCACCACCCCAACCCCCCCAACTTCGGAGCCGCTTCCAGCGACACTGCTTGTCATTCTCACCACATCCCCAGGGAATCCCTCCCCTCCCCCAGCTTTCCACCCCCTAAACCCCCTTTATCTCTGTCTGAGTGATCCCCCCGATCCCTGTTGCCGCTGTTTTCCCAGGATTACCACAAGATCATCAAGCAGCCCATGGACATGGGGACCATCAAGAGGCGCCTGGAGAACAACTATTACTGGGGGGCTGCCGAGTGCATGCAGGACTTCAACACCATGTTCACCAACTGCTACATCTACAACAAGGTGGGACCCACCCCAGAAACACCCCCTGGCACCCCCCCAAAAAAGTCGTTCCCGGCGTTCCCTGACCCCGGATCCGATGATTCCCGCAGCCCACGGATGACATCGTGCTGATGGCGCAGACCCTGGAGAAGATCTTCCTGCAGAAGGTGGCCCAGATGCCTCCGGAGGAGCAGGAGATCGTGGTGCCCGTGGCCAAGAACAGCCACAAAAAGGGGGCGTCCAGGGCGGCAGGTGAGGGAAAAGGGAGGCCTTGAAAGTTGGGAATGAGAGCTGGGGGTCCCTAAAAGTTGGTACAACGTGGGAGTGACAGTGGCGGCTCCCTAAAAGCTTCACCGGGTGTTTTGTGTCCCTCGTGGTGGCATTGAGGGGTCCTGGGGGTCCCCAGATCTGGCACCGGTGTTGCCAGGTGTCCCTTGGGATAACACTGGTATTCCCGGGGTCCCCAAATCCCCGTCTCCAGGTGTTTCCTGTGTCCTTTGGGATGACAGTTGGGGGGCTCAGGGGTCTCCAACCCTTTATTCTATGTATTTCCTGTATTTTTTGGGAGGCCCCCACCCAGCCCCTTTTCCCTGGGGGTGTCCCTTGGGATAACACTGGTATTCCTGGGGTCCCCAAATCCCCGTCTCCAGGTGTTTCCTGTGTCCTTTGGGATGACAGTTGGGGGCTCAGGGGCTCTCCAACCCTTCACTCTGTGTATTTCCTGTATTTGGGGGGCCCCACCCAGCCCCTTTTCCCTGGGGGTGTCCCTTGGGATAACACCGGTATTCCCGGGGTCCCCAAATCCCTGTCTCCAGGTGTTCCCTGTGTCCTTTGGGATGACAGCTGGGGGCTCAGGGGTCTCCAACCCTTTATTCTATGTATTTCCTGTATTTTTTGGGAGGCCCCCACCCAGCCCCTTTTCCCCGGGGTGTCCCTTGGGATAACACTGGTATTCCTGGGGTCCCCAAATCCCCGTCTCCAGGTGTTCCCTGTGTCCTTTGGGATGACAGTTGGGGGGCTCAGGGCTCTCCAACCTTTTATTCTATGTATTTCCTGTATTTGGGGGGCCCCACCCAGCCCCTTTTCCTGGGGGTGTCCCTTGGGATAACACTGGTATTCCTGGGGTCCCCAAATCCCCGTCTCCAGGTGTTCCCTGTGTCCTTTGGGATGACAGTTGGGGGGCTCAGGGGCTCTCCAACCTTTTATTCTATGTATTTCCTGTATTTGGGGGGCCCCACCCAGCCCCTTTTCCCTGGGGTGTCCCTTGGGATAACAGCAACATTCCTGGGGTCCCCAAATCCCTGTCTCCAGGTGTTCCCTGTGTCCTTTGGGATGACAGTTGGGGGGCTCAGGGGTCTCCAACCCTTCACTCTGTGTATTTCCTGTATTTGGGGGGCCCCACCCAGCCCCTTTTCCTGGGGGTGTCCCTTGGGATAACACCGGTATTCCCGGGGTCCCCAAATCCCCGTCTCCAGGTGTTCCCTGTGTCCTTTGGGATGACACTTGGGGGGCTCAGGGGCTCTCCAACCCTTTATTCTATGTATTTCCTGTATTTTTTGGGAGGCCTCCACCCAGCCCTCTTTTCCCGGGTGTCCCTTGGGATAACACTGGTATTCCCGGGGTCCCCAAATCCCCGTCTCCGGGTGTTCCCTGTGTCCTTTGGGATGACAGCTGGGGGTTCAGGGGCTCTCCAAGCCTTCACTCTATGTATTTCCTGTATTCTTTGGGAGGCCCCCACCCAGCCCCTTTTCCCTGGGGTGTCCCTTGGGATAACACTGGTATTCCCGGGGTCCCCAAATCCCCGTCTCCAGGTGTTCCCTGTGTCCTTTGGGGTGACAGCTGGGGGGCTCAGGGGTCTCCAACCTTTTATTCTATGTATTTCCTGTATTTTTTGGGAGGCCCCCACCCAGCCCCTTTTCCCCGGGGTGTCCCTTGGGATAACAGCAACATTCCTGGGGTCCCCAAATCCCAGTCTCCAGGTGTTCCCTGTGTCCTTTGGGATGACAGTTGGGGGGCTCAGGGGTCTCCAACCCTTCACTCTGTGTATTTCCTGTATCCTTTGGGAGGCCCCCACCCAGCCCCTTTTCCCTGGGGTGTCCCTTGGGATAACACTGGTATTCCCGGGGTCCCCAAATCCCCGTCTCCAGGTGTTCCCTGTGTCCTTTGGGATGACAGTTGGGGGCTCAGGGGCTCTCCAACCCTTTATTCTGTGTATTTCCTGTATTCTTTGGGGGGCCCCCACCCAGCCCCTTTTCCCCGGGGTGTCCCTTGGGATAACACTGGTATTCCCGGGGTCCCCAAATCCCCGTCTCCGGGTGTTCCCTGTGTCCTTTGGGATGACAGTTGGGGGGCTCAGGGGCTCTCCAACCCTTCACTCTGTGTATTTCCTGTATTCTTTGGGAGGCCCCCACCCAGCCCCTTTTCCTGGGGGTGTCCCTTGGGATAACACTGGTATTCCCGGGGTCCCCAAATCCCCGTCTCCAGGTGTTCCCCGTGTCCTTTGGGATGACAGCTGGGGGCTCAGGGGCTCTCCAACCCTTTATTCTATGTATTTCCTGTATTCTTTGGGAGGCCCCCACCCAGCCCCTTTTCCCCGGGGTGTCCCTTGGGATAACACTGGTATTCCCGGGGTCCCCAAATCCCCGTCTCCAGGTGTTCCCTGTGTCCTTTGGGATGACAGTTGGGGGCTCAGGGGCTCTCCAACCCTTTATTCTGTGTATTTCCTGTATTTTTTGGGAGGCCCCCACCCAGCCCCTTTTCCCCGGGGTGTCCCTTGGGATAACAGCAACATTCCTGGGGTCCCCAAATCCCCGTCTCCAGGTGTTCCCTGTGTCCTTTGGGATGACAGCTGGGGGCTCAGGGGCTCTCCAACCCTTTATTCTATGTATTTCCTGTATTTTTTGGGAGGCCCCCACCCAGCCCCTTTTCCCCGAGGTGTCCCTTGGGATAACAACAACATTCCTGGTTTTTTTTTTTTTTCCCCCCTCTCTGCTTCCAGCGCTCCTGGCGGGGCTGACGGCGGCTCAGCAGGTCCCAGCCGTGTCCTCGGTGTCCCAGCCCACGGTGTACCCTGCCACGACGCCCGAAATCCCCACAACCATCGTCAACATCCCCCACCCCTCGGTCATCTCCGCCCCCATCCTGAAATCCCTGCATCCCAACGCTCCCGCCGTCCTGGCCCCGCCCGCGCCCACGCAGCCCGTGGCCAAGGTGGGAATTCTGGAGGAGGTGGGATGGGATGTGGGGGGATTGAGGGGGCTGAGGTGAGGGTTCTGGGAAAAGGGGGTGTTGGTGATGGAATAGAGGGTGCTGGATGTTGGGATATGGGGGTTCTGGATGTTGGGATGGGGGTTCTGGATGTTGGGATGGGGGTTCTGGACATTGGGAAGGGGAATGTTGGTGTTGGGATGGGGGTTCTGGACACTGGGATGGGGGTTCTGGACACTGGGAAGGGGAATGTTGGTGTTGGGATGGGGTTTCTGGATGTTGGGATGGGAGTTCTGGACACTGGGATGGGGTTTCTGGACACTGGGAAGGGGAATGTTGGTGTTTGGGATGGGGAGTTTCTGGATGTTGGGATGAGGCTTCCAGATGTCGATGCGGAGGTTCCCAATGTTGAGCTGGGAGGGTCCCACACCTCAAACTGGGAGTCCCACACCTCAAACTGGGAGTCCCACACCTCAAACTGGGGGTCCCACACCTCAAACTGGGGGTCCCACACCTCAAACTGGGGGTCCCACACCTCAAACTGGGGGTCCCACACCTCAAACTGGGGAGTCCCACACCTCAAACTGGGAGTCCCACACCTCAAACTGGGGGTCCCACACCTCAAACTGGGGGTCCCACACCTCAAACTGGGAGTCCCACACCTCAAACTGGGGGGGCCCAGATTCGAGGTCAGGGGTCCCACCTACCAGTCCACCTCTGATCCCACCTTTCCTGCTCCCAGAAAAAGGGGGTGAAGCGGAAAGCGGACACCACCACCCCCACCACCACGGCCATCATCGCCACCAGCACCGGCGGCGAGTCCTCCCCGTCCCCCTCGGCCTCCGGAGCCCCCCCGGACCCCCCGAAACCCGCCAAGATCCCCGCCCGGCGCGAGAGCGGCCGCCCCATCAAACCCCCCCGCAAGGACCTGCCGGATTCCCAGCAGCACCAAACTTCCAAGAAGGGGAAGCTCTCGGAGCAGCTCAAGTACTGCAACGGGATCCTGAAGGAGCTGCTGTCCAAGAAGCACGCGGCCTACGCCTGGCCCTTCTACAAACCCGTGGACGCCTCGGCCCTGGGGCTGCACGACTACCACGAGATCATCAAGCACCCCATGGACCTCAGCACCATCAAGGTGGGGGGCTCTGGAACCCCCACCCCTCTCCCCCAGGAGCCAGCAAGCCCAAAAATCCTCTGGGGAACCCTGGGAATCTTGGGAGCGGTTGAGGGAAGGGATCTGGGAGAGAGGGGTTTGTGGGGTTTTGGAGGATTCTCAAGGGGAATTGCAGTGGTGGTTTGGAGGGGTCCTCAAGGGTTTTTAGGGGTCCCCAAGGGGTTTTTGAGGGGTCCCCAAGGGGTTTTTTAGGGGTCCTCAAGGGGTTTTTGAGGGGTCCCCAAGGGGTTTTTTAGGGGTCCCCAAGGGGTGTTTTTGGGGGATTCTCAAGGGAATTGCAGTGGTGGTTTGGAGGGGTCCTCAAGGGGTTTTTGAGGGGTCCCCAAGGGGTTTTTGAGGGGTCCCCAAGGGGGTTTTGAGGGGTCCCCAAGGGGTTTTTGAGGGGTCCCCAAGGGGTGTTTTTGAGGGATTCTCAAGGGGAATTGCCGTGGTGGTTTTTAGGGGTCCCCAAGGGGTTTTTGAGGGGTCCCCAAGGGGTTTTTCAGGGGTCCCCAAGGGGTGTTTTTGGGGATTCTCAAGAGGAATTGCCGTGGTGGTTTGGAGGGGTCCCCAAGGGGTTTTTGAGGGGTCCCCAAGGGGTGTTTTTGGGGGATTCTCAAGGGAATTGGAGTGGTGGTTTGGAGGGGTCTTCAAGGGGTTTTTGAGGGGTCCCCAAGGGGTTTTTAGGGTCCCTAAGGGTGTTTTTGGGGGATTCTCAAGGGAATTGCAGTGGTGGTTTGGAGGGGTCCTCAAGGGGGTTTTTGAGGGGTCCCCAAGGGGGTTTTTAGGGGTCCCCAAGGGGTGTTTTTGGGGGATTCTCAAGAGGAATTGCAGTGGGGGTTTGGAGGGGTCCCTGAGGGGGTTTTTGAGGGGTCCCCAAGGGGTGTTTTTGGGGGATTCCCAACAGGAATCGCAGGTGGGTTTTGGAGGCGCCCCAAGGGGATGGATTTGGGATTTTTTTTTTAAGGGGGTCTTCAAGGGGAATCACAGCGAGGTTTTGAGGGGTCCCTAAGGTGGATTTGGGATTTTTTTTTTTAAGGGGGTCTTCAAGGGGAATCACAGCGAGGTTTTGAGGGGTCCCTAAGGTGGATTTGGGATTTTTTTTAAGGGGGTCTTCCAGGGGAATCACAGCGAGGTTTTGAGGGGTCCCTGAGGTGGATTTGGGATTTTTTTGAAGGGGGTCTTCAAGGGGAATCACAGCGAGGTTTTGAGGGGTTCCTGAGGTGGATTTGGGATTTTTTTAAGAGGCTTTTCAAGGGGAATCACAGCGAGGTTTTGAGGGGTCCCTAAGGTGGATTTGGGATTTTTTTTTAAGGGGGTCTTCAAGGGGAATCACAGCGAGGTTTTGAGGGGTCCCTGAGGTGGATTTGGGATTTTTTTTGAAGGGGGTCTTCAAGGGGAATCACAGCGAGGTTTTGAGGGGTCCCTAAGGTGGATTTGGGATTTTTTTTAATGAGGTCTTCAAGGGGAATCACAGCGAGGTTTTGAGGGGTCCCTAAGGTGGATTTGGGATTTTTTTTTTTAAGGGGGTCTTCAAGGGGAATCACAGCGAGGTTTTGAGGGGTCCCTAAGGTGGATTTGGGATTTTTTTTTTTAAGGGGTTTTTCAAGGGGAATCACAGCGAGGTTTTGAGGGGTCCCTAAGGTGGATTTGGGATTTTTTTTTTGAAGGGGGTCTTCAAGGGGAATCACAGCGAGGTTTTGAGGGGTCCCTGAGGTGGATTTGGGGTGGTTTGGGGGTCAGCCCTGTCCCTTTGCCCCCCCAGAGGAAGATGGAGAACCGGGACTACCACGACGCCCAAGAATTCGCGGCCGACGTGCGGTTGATGTTCTCCAACTGCTACAAGTACAACCCGCCCGACCACGACGTGGTGGCCATGGCCAGGAAGCTCCAGGTCATTCCCAACCCCCTCAAAATCTGGGAGATCCCACTCTTGAACTCGTAAATCCCATTAAAATCCTGGAATTCCAGCGTTTGAGATGTTGGGATAGGGGTTTGGGACACTGGGATGGAGGTGGTTCGGGATCCTGGGGTGGGGGACCTGGATGGTGGGATGGCATTCGGAATGGGGCTTAATGGATTTTGGGATGGGGTTTTCAGATGTTGGAATGGGGACTCCGGATTTCTGAGTGGGGGTTACAAGGTGAGGGTTGGGATGAGGATCTCAGGTGCTGGAATGGGGGATTCCAGATTTCTGAGTGGGGGTTATGAGGGTTGGGATGAGGATCTCAGGTGCTGGAATGGGGGATTCCAGATTTCTGAGTGGGGGTTATGAGGGTTGGGATGAGGATCTCAGGTGTTGGAATGGGGGATTCCAGATTTCTGAGTGGGGAGCTTAAGGTGAGGGTTGGGATGAGGATCTCAGGTGCTGGAATGGGGATTCCAGATTTCTGAGTGGGGGTTATGAGGGTTGGGATGAGGATCTCAGGTGCTGGAATGGGGGATTCCAGATTTCTGAGTGGGGGTTACAAGGTGAGGGTTGGGATGAGGATCTCAGGTGCTGGAATGGGGGATTCCAGATTTCTGAGTGGGGGTTACAAGGGTTGGGATGAGGATCTCAGGTGCTGGAATGGGGGATTCCAGATTTCTGAGTGGGGGTTACAAGGTGAGGGTTGGGATGAGGATCTCAGGTGCTGGAATGGGGACTCCAGATTTCTGAGTGGGGGTAATTACAAGGTGAGGGTTGGGATGAGGATCTCAGGTGCTGGAATGGGGATTCCAGATTTCTGAGTGAGGTTACAAGGTGAGGGTTGGGATGAGGATTCAGGTGCTGGAATGGGGATTCCAGATTTCTGAGTGGGGTTACAAGGTGAGGGTTGGGATGAGGATCTCAGGTGCTGGAATGGGATTCCAGATTTCTGAGGGGGTTACAAGGTGAGGGCTGGGATGAGGATCTGCAGGTGGAATGGGGGTTGAGGGTTGGGATGAGGATCTCAGGTGCTGGAATGGGGATTCCAGATTTCTGAGTGGGGAGTTACAAGGTGAGGTTGGGATGAGGATCTCAGGTGCTGGAATGGGGATTCCAGATTTGAGTGGGGTTACGAGGGTTGGGATGAGGATCTCAGGTGCTGGAATGGGGATTCCAGATTTCTGAGTGGGGGTTATGAGGGTTGGGATGAGGATCTCAGGTGCTGGAATGGGGGATTCCAGATTTCTGAGTGGGGGTTATGAGGGTTGGGATGAGGATCTCAGGTGCTGGAATGGGGATTCCAGATTTCTGAGTGGGGGTTACAAGGTGAGGGTTGGGATGAGGATCTCAGGTGCTGGAATGGGGATTCCAGATTTCTGAGTGGGGGTTACAAGGTGAGGGTTGGGATGAGGATCTCAGGTGCTGGAATGGGGATTCCAGATTTCTGAGTGGGGGTTACAAGGTGAGGGTTGGGATGAGGATCTCAGGTGCTGGAATGGGGATTCCAGATTTCTGAGTGGGGGTTACAGGTGAGGGTTGGGATGAGGATCTCAGGTGCTGGAATGGGGATTCCAGATTTCTGAGTGGGGGTTACAAGGTGAGGGTTGGGATGAGGATCTCAGGTGCTGGAATGGGGATTCCAGATTTCTGAGTGGGGGTTACAGGTGAGGGTTGGGATGAGGATCTCAGGTGCTGGAATGGGGGATTCCAGATTTCTGAGTAGGGTTACAGGAGGTTGGGATGAGGATCTCAGGTGCTGGAATGGGGATTCCAGATTTCTGAGTGGGGGTTATGAGGGTTGGGATGAGGATCTCAGGTGCTGGAATGGGGATTCCAGATTTCTGAGTGGGGGTTATGAGGGTTGGGATGAGGATCTCAGGTGCTGGAATGGGGATTCCAGATTTCTGAGTGGGGGAATTACAAGGTGAGGGTTGGGATGAGGATCTCAGGTGCTGGAATGGGGATTCCAGATTTCTGAGTGGGGGTTATACAAGGTGAGGGTTGGGATGAGGATCTCAGGTGCTGGAATGGGGATTCCAGATTTCTGAGTGGGGGTTACTGAGGGTTGGGATGAGGATCTCAGGTGCTGGAATGGGGATTCCAGATTTCTGAGTGGGGGTTATGAGGGTTGGGATGAGGATCTCAGGTGCTGGAATGGGGATTCCAGATTTCTGAGTGGGGGTTAATCAAGGTGAGGGTTGGGATGAGGATCTCAGGTGCTGGAATGGGGATTCCAGATTTCTGAGTGGGGGTTAGTGAGGGTTGGGATGAGGATCTCAGGTGCTGGAATGGGGATTCCAGATTTCTGAGTGGGGGTTATAGAGGAGGTTGGGATGAGGATCTCAGGTGCTGGAATGGGGATTCCAGATTTCTGAGTGGGGGTTATGAGGGTTGGGATGAGGATCTCAGGTGCTGGAATGGGGATTCCAGATTTCTGAGTGGGGGTTAATTACAAGGTGAGGGTTGGGATGAGGATCTCAGGTGCTGGAATGGGGGATTCCAGATTTCTGAGTGGGGGTTAATTACAAGGTGAGGGTTGGGATGAGGATCTCAGGTGCTGGAATGGGGGATTCCAGATTTCTGAGTGGGGGTTATGAGGGTTGGGATGAGGATCTCAGGTGCTGGAATGGGGGATTCCAGATTTCTGAGTGGGGTTATTACAAGGTGAGGGTTGGGATGAGGATCTCAGGTGCTGGAATGGGGATTCCAGATTTCTGAGTGGGGGTTACAAGTGAGGGTTGGGATGAGGATCTCAGGTGCTGGAATGGGGATTCCAGATTTCTGAGTGGGGGTTATAAGAGGGTTGGGATGAGGATCTCAGGTGCTGGAATGGGGATTCCAGATTTCTGAGTGGGGGTTATGAGGGTTGGGATGAGGATCTCAGGTGCTGGAATGGGGATTCCAGATTTCTGAGTGGGGAGTTAAGGTGAGGGTTGGGATGAGGATCTCAGGTGCTGGAATGGGGGATTCCAGATTTCTGGAGTGGGGGATTACAAGGTGAGGGTTGGGATGAGGATCTCAGGTGCTGGAATGGGGATTCCAGATTTCTGAGTGGGGGTTATGAGGGTTGGGATGAGGATCTCAGGTGCTGGAATGGGGATTCCAGATTTCTGAGTGGGGGTTATACAAGGTGAGGGTTGGGATGAGGATCTCAGGTGTTGGAATGGGGGATTCCAGATTTCTGAGTGGGGGTTATGAGGGTTGGGATGAGGATCTCGGGTGCTGGAATGGGGGATTCCAGATTTCTGAGGGGGGGTTAATTACAAGGTGAGGGTTGGGATGAGGATCTCAGGTGCTGGAATGGGGGATTCCAGATTTCTGAGTGGGGGTTACAAGGTGAGGGTTGGGATGAGGATCTCAGGTGCTGGAATGGGGGATTCCAGATTTCTGAGTGGGGGTTATGAGGGTTGGGATGAGGATCTCAGGTGCTGGAATGGGGGATTCCAGATTTCTGAGTGGGGGTTAATTACAAGGTGAGGGTTGGGATGAGGATCTCAGGTGCTGGAATGGGGGATTCCAGGGTTGGGATGAGGATCTCAGGTGCTGGAATGGGGGATTCCAGATTTCTGAGTGGGGGTTATGAGGGTTGGGATGAGGATCTCAGGTGTTGGAATGGGGGATTCCAGATTTCTGAGTGGGGGTTATGAGGGTTGGGATGAGGATCTCAGGTGCTGGAATGGGGGATTCCAGGGTTGGGATGAGGATCTCAGGTGCTGGAATGGGGGATTCCAGATTTCTGAGTGGGGGTTAATTACAAGGTGAGGGTTGGGATGAGGATCTCAGGTGCTGGAATGGGGGATTCCAGATTTCTGAGTGGGGGTTAATTACAAGGTGAGGGTTGGGATGAGGATCTCAGGTGCTGGAATGGGGGATTCCAGATGTCAGGAGGGGGATTCCAGGTGTCCCAGACCTCAGGCCACCCCACCCTGAACTCCCCCCTCGATCCTGAGTTTCCCCCCTGTCCTTCCAGGACGTGTTCGAGTTCAGCTACGCCAAAATGCCGGACGAGCCGCAGGACGCTGGAGCTCCCTCTGTGTCCACCCCGCTGCCCGTTCCCAAATCCTCCTCCGAGGAATCTTCCAGCGACGAGGACGACGAGGACGACGACGAAGACGACGAGGACGACGAGACCAGCACGGAAAGCTCCTCGGAGAGCGAGGAGAGCTCGGATTCCGAGGAGGAACGAGCCAACCGGCTGGCGGAGCTGCAGGAGCAGGTGAGGGGCCCATCCCAGGCAACGCTCCGCAGCCGGAATTCCCTCGGGATTCGCTCCCTGACGTCCCCCTCTCCCCGCTGTCTCCTCCCCCCTACAGCTGCGGGCCGTGCACGAGCAGCTGGCTGCCCTCTCGCAGGGCCCCGTGTCCAAACCCAAGAAAAAGCGGGAGAAGAGGAAGAGGAAGAAGTCGGAGAAGCACAAAGGGAGGGACGAGGAGACGAGGGCGAGGCAGGCGCAGCTCCGGAGGGCCCGGAAAGCCGGAGGAGGCGGCGGTGGATCCAAGTGAGGCAATGGCGGGAATGGTTGGGAAGAGTCCCGGGGAGGGTTTTGGGAGTTGGGATTGGGGGGGGTTCAGGGTATCAGGATGGGGGACCTTGGGAGGGCAGGATGGAGGTTCTGGACGCCGGGATGGGGTTCAGGGTGGTGGTGGGGTAGGGATTTTGGGAGCTGGGATGGGAGTTCAGGGATGGGAGTTCGGGCTGCTGGGAAGGAGATCCAGATGTTGGGATGGGCGTTTCGTGTGTTGGGATGGGAATTTTTGGGAGTTGGGATGGGGATTCAGGATGCTGGAGTGGGGTTCTGGAAGCTTGGGATGGGTGATCTGGACGCTGGGATGGGGTTCAGGGTGGTGTTGGGGTAGGGATTTTGGGAGCTGGGATGGGAGTTCGGGCTGCTGGGAAGGAGATCCAGATGTTGGGATGGGCGTTCTGTGTGTTGGGATGGGAATTTTTGGGAGCTGGGATGGGGATTCAGGATGCTGGAGTGGGGTTCTGGAAGCTTGGGATGGGTGATCTGGAAGCTGGGATGGGGTTCAGGGTGGTGGTGGGGGTAGGAATTTTGGGAGCTGGGATGGGAGTTCAAGCTGCTGGGAAGGAGATCCAGATGTTGGGATGGGCATTTCGTGTGTTGGGATTTTTGGGAGCCAGGATGGGGATTCAGGATGCTGGAGTGGGGTTCCTGGAAGCTTGGGATGGGTGATCTGGACGCTGGGATGGGGTTCAGGGTGGTGTTGGGGTAGGAATTTTGGGAGCTGGGAGTTCAGGCTCCCAGCCTGAAGTGGGATGGGAGTTCAGGGATGGGAGTTCGGGCTGCTGGGAAGGAGATCCAGATGTTGGGATGGGCGTTCTGTGTGTTGGGATGGGAATTTTTGGGAGCTGGGATGGGGATTCAGGATGCTGGAGTGGGGTTCTGGAAGCTTGGGATGGGTGATCTGGACGCTGGGATGGGGTTCAGGGTGGTGTTGGGGTAGGAATTTTGGGAGCTGGGATGGGAGTTCGGGCTGCTGGGAAGGAGATCCAGATGTTGGGATGGGCGTTCCGTGTGTTGGGATGGGAATTTTTGGGAGCTGGGATGGGGATTCAGGATGCTGGAGTGGGGTTCTGGAAGCTTGGGATGGGTGATCTGGACGCTGGGATGGGATTCAGGTTCTTGGCTTTTGGGGTGGAGGTTCCAGATGTCGGGATGGGGGTTCTGGATGTGGGGGTTGAGGGTTCAGGAGGGGTAGGGATGGGCATTTTGGATGCTGGAATAGGGGTTTGGGGGTTGGGATGGGGCTCCAAAACCTGCGTGGCACCACCCCGAGCTCCCTGGAAACCCCAAAATCCCGCAAGGCTCTTGCCAACGAGCCCTGGGTCCTTCTTCCCGCCAGGAATTCCAAGAAATCCTCCAAACCTGCCCTGCCAGCCCCTCCATCCCTCTACGACTCTGAGGAGGAGGAGGAATCCAAACCCATGACCTACGACGAGAAGCGCCAGCTGAGCCTGGACATCAACAAACTTCCCGGGGAAAAACTGGGCAGGGTGGTGCACATCATCCAGTCCAGGGAGCCTTCCCTGCGGGATTCCAACCCCGAGGAGATCGAGATCGACTTCGAGACCCTCAAACCCTCCACGCTGAGGGAGCTGGAGCGCTACGTCCTGTCCTGCCTCCGGAAAAAACCCCGGAAACCCTACAGCGAGAGTGAGTTTGGGAGGATCCCGTGGGATTTGTGGGGGGCAGAGGGGGGGGATGTGGATCCCATGGAATTTTCTCCTGGGGTTCTTTTTGTAGCCACGAAGAAGCCGGTGGGGAAGACGAAAGAGGAGCTGGCGCTGGAGAAGAAGAGGGAGCTGGAAAAGCGGCTCCAGGACGTCAGTGGGCAGCTGAATTCGGCCAAGAAACCCCCCAAGAAGGGTCTGGAAGTCTTGGGAGTGGGCGTTGGGATCTTGGGATGGGGGGTCTGGGATGTTGGGATGTTGGGTTGGGGCTGGGATGGGGGTCTGGGATGTTGGGATGGGGATTGGGGTGGGATGTCAGAGCTGAACTGGACCAAGAAACCCCTCAAGAAGGGTCAGGGAATCTGTGAATGGGTTTTGGGATGTCAGGATGGGATCTTGGGATCTTGGGATGGGTCTGGGATGTTGGGATGGGGGTCTGGGATGTTGGGATGTTGGGATTTTGGGGCTTGGTTGGGGTTCAGGGTGTTGGGATGGGGATTGGGGTGGGATGTCAGAGCTGAACTGGACCAAGAAACCCCTCCAGAAGGGTCAGGGAATCTGTGAATGGGCTTTGGGATGTCAGGATGAGGTCTGGGATCTGGGATGTTGGGATGGGGTCTGGGATGTTGGGATTGGGATAGGAGTCTGGGATGTTGGGATGTTGGGATGGGGGGTCTGGGATGTTGGGATTTGGGGCTGGGATGGGGGTCTGGGATGTTGGGATGGGGATCGGGGTGGGATGTCAGAGCTGAACTCGACCTGAACTCGACCAAGAAACCCCTCAAGAAGGGTCAGGGAATCTGTGAGTGGGCTTTGGGATGTCAGGATGGGATCTTGGGATGTTGGGATGGGGGTCTGGGATGTTGGGATGTTGGGATGGGGGTCTGGGATGTTGGGATGGGGCTGGCATTGTTGGGATTTGGGGCTTGGTTGGGGTTCAGGGTGTTGGGATGGGGATTGGGGTGGGATGTCAGAGCTGAACTCGACCAAGAAAACCTCTCAAGAAGGGTCAGGGAATCTGTGACTGGGCTTTGGGATGTCAGGATGGGATGTTGGGATGGGGGTCTGGGATGTTGGGATGTTGGGATGGGGGTCTGGGATGTTGGGATGTTGGGATGGGGCTGGCATTGTTGGGATTTTGGGGCTTGGTTGGGGTTCAGGGTGTTGGGATGGGGATTGGGGTGGGATGTCAAAGCTGAACTCGACCAAGAAACCCCTCAAGAAGGGTCAGGGAATCTGTGAATGGGTTTTGGGATGTCAGGATGGGGGTCTGGGATGGGGGTCTGGGATGTTGGGATGTTGGGATTTTGGGGCTTGGTTGGGGTTCAGGGTGTTGGGATGGGGATTGGGGTGGGATGTCAGAGCTGAACTCGACCTGAACTCGACCAAGAAACCCCTCAGGAAGGGTCAGGGAATCTGTGAATGGGCTTTGGGATGTCAGGATGGGGGTCTGGGATGGGGGTCTGGGATGTTGGGATGTTGGGATTTTGGGGCTTGGTTGGGGTTCAGGGTGTTGGGATGGGGATTGGGGTGGGATGTCAGAGCTGAACTCGACCTGAACTCGACCAAGAAACCCCTCAAGAAGGGTCAGGGAATCTGTGACTGGGCTTTGGGATGTCAGGATGGGATCTTGGGATGTTGGGATGGGGCTGGCATTGTTGGGATTTGGGGCTTGGTTGGGGTTCAGGGTGTTGGGATGGGGATTAGGGTGGGATGTCAGAGCTGAACTCGCCCAAGAAGAGTCTGGAATTTTTTGGAGTGGTCGTTGGGACGGAGGTCTGGAATGTTGGAATAGGGTTTAGGATGCAATTCCAGGTGCTGAGATTGGGATTGTGGGATTGGGATTCCAGGTGCTGGGATTGGGATTGTGGGCTTGGGATTCCAGGTGCTGAGCTTGGGATTGTGGGATTGGGATTCCAGGTGCTGGGATTGGGATTCTGGGCTTGGGATTCCAGGTGCTGGGCTTGGGATTCTGGGATTGGGATTCCAGGTGCTGGGCTTGGGATTCTGGGCTTGGGATTCCAGGTGCTGGGCTTGGGATTCTGGGATTGGGATTCCAGGTGCTGGGATTGTGGGATTGGGATTCCAGGTGCTGAGATTGGGATTCTGGGCTTGGGATTCCAGGTGCTGGGATTGGGATTCTGGGATTGGGATTCCAGGTGCTGGGATTGGGATCGTGGGCTTGGGATTCCAGGTGCTGGGATTGGGATTGTGGGCTTGGGATTCCAGGTGCTGGGATTGGGATTGTGGGTTTGGGATTCCAGGTGCTGAGATTGGGATTGTGGGATTGGGATTCCAGGTGCTGGGATTGGGATTCTGGGTTTGGGATTGAAATTCCAGCTACCAGGATGGGATCTGGCCTCTGGGATTGAGGTTCCAGATGCTGGGATGGCTTTCCCAGGTGCTGAGATTGGGATTGGGATTGAAATTCCAGGTACCAGGATGGGATCTGGCCTCGGGGATTGAGGTTCCAGATGCTGGGATGGCTTTCCCAGGTGCTGACCCTGCCCTAATCCTGCTACTCATTCCCAGTTTTTCCCCCCACAGCCAACGAGAAGCCGGAATCCGCCCAACAAGTGGCCGCTTCCCGACTTTCCGCCTCCAGCTCCAGCTCCGATTCCAGCAGCTCCAGCTCCTCCTCCTCCTCCTCCGACACCAGTGACTCGGATTCCGGTTAGTTGGGAATTCCCAGAGAATCCCAGGAATTCCCGGGCTCGGCGGGACCGGACCCGAGTCCCTTCCCCCCCACCCCTCCCCTGGATTTTGGGGTGATTTTCCCCCCCCTCCCCTGGATTTTGGGGTGATTTCCCCCCCATTCCAGCACCGATGGACTTTGGGAATGCGGGAAAGGAGAGGGGAGGATCCCATGGGATGAGGGTGGGAATTTGGGGATTAATCCCATTTTCCCTCCTCCGGCAGAATTTTGCTGTTTGTTTTTAGGGTTTTTTGTTGGTTTTTGTTTTTGTTGGGGTTTTTTTTTGTGTGTGGGTTGATTTTTTTTTTCTTGTTTGTTTTTTTTCTTGTTTGTTTTTTTTGTTTTGTTTTGTTTTTTTTGTGGTTTTTTTTCAAATTGGAATTTTTTCCAACAAAAAGAGGGAGAAAAGTTAGGGATTTTTTTTTTTTTTTTTTGAGGGTGGAGAGTTTTTAAGGAAAAAAAACGGCAAAAAAACAGCAAAAAAATATTTAAAAAAAAACCTAAAAAAAAAATAAAACTTTTTAGAAAAAAAAAAAATTAAAAAAAATATAAAAAAAAGGCCTCTTGGTGGGGGAGGGGGCTGGAAAATTCCAGAGCTTGGGAAAAGGGGGAAGGGATGGGGGGAAAGTTTGGGATCCTCCTGGTGGGTTTTTTTTTTTTTGGGGATGGTTTGGGGGGGGGGGAGGGGAGGAGTCCCTCAACCCCTCCTCGACCTTTTTAATTGTTAATTTATTTGGGAATTTCGGGGAGGAAAAAGGATGGGGGGGTTGGAGAGGATGGAAAAAGCCCCAGAAATGCCGAGACGCCCCCTCCCCCCACCCCCCCTTCCCGGCATGATCCAGAGGGGGAGGGGGAAGGGCCTGTTTTTTACGTTGGAAAAATGTACAATTTTTTTCTACTCCATTTTCCATTTGTTTTTTGAGGGTTTCCCCCCCCATCTTTTCCCATCTTTTCCCAGGTTTTTTTTTCCCCTAATTCTTCCTGACCTTCTCCATAGACCCTTTAGAGTCACGTTTTCATCTTGGTTTTTCCGACCTTTGGAATTCTTTCGATGTGTAAATAAAGAAAATATTATTCAAGTTGAATTCCGGGATGGGTGTTGTGATTGGGGGCAGGAAAATTGGGAATTCCACAGGAATTTCCTTAATTCTGGGGGAAAAGTGGGAGGATCCTGTGCCCCCAGTCATTAATTTGGGGAAAAATGGGATTATCCTGCATCCCCCCCCTAGACCTGGATTGGGAAAATTGGGGATGTTCCGTGTCCTTAATTTGGGGAAAAGTGGGAATGCTCCCCTGAGATCCCCAAAATACAACGTTGGGACCCCAAAAATAGACCCTGGGAACCCCCAAATACCCCAAGACCCCCAAAATACAACGTTGGGACCCCAAATACCCCCTGCAACCCCAAAATAGACCTGAGAACCCCAAAATAGACCCTGGACCCCAAAATAGACCTCGAGACCCCCAAAAACCACCCTGGAACCCCAAAAATAGACCCCGGGACCCCCAAAATACAACGTTGGGACCCCAAAAATAGACCCTGGGAACCCCAAAATACCCCAAGACCCCCAAAAATAGACCCCAAGACGCCCAAAATACAACACTGGAACCCCAAAAACAGACCCTGAGACCCCCAAATACACTCCAAGACGCCCAAAATACAACACTGGAACCCCAAAATACCCCCCTGGGACCCCCAAAATACCCCCCTGGGACCCCCAAAATACAACGTTGGGACCCCCAAAAACACTCTGGGACCTCAAAAATAGATCCTGGGAACCCTAAAAATAGACCCTGAGACCCCAAAATACCCCCTGGGACCCCAAAATACAACGTTGGGACCCCAAAATACACTCTGGGACCTCAAAATAGATCCTAGGAACCCCAAAATAGACCCCTAGGACCCCCAAAATACAACGTCTGGGACCCCAAAAACAGACCCTGGGAACCCCAAAAATAGACCCCGGGACCCCCAAAATACAACGTTGGGACCCCAAAATAGACCCCAAGACCCCCAAATACACTCCAAGACCCCCCAAAAACACTCTGGGACCCCAAAATAGACCCCAAGACCCCCAAATACACCCCAAGACCCCCCAAAAACACTCTGGGACCCCAAAATACCCCCCTGGGACCCCCAAAAATAGACCCCAAGACACCCAAAAAACACTCTGGGACCCCAAAAATAGACCCTGGGAACCCCAAAAATAGACCCCGGGACCCCCAAAATACAACGTTGGAACCCCAAAATACCCCCCTGGGACCCCCAAAAATAGACCCCAAGACCCCCAAAATACAACGTTGGAACCCCAAAATACCTCGAGACCCCAAAAACAGACCCCGAGACACCCAAAATACAACATTGGAACCCCAAAATACCCCCCTGGGACCCCCAAAAACACTCTGGGACCCCCAAAATACACTCTGGAACCCCAAAAATAGAGCCCAAGATCCCCAAAATACAATGTTGGGACCCCAAAATACCCCCCTGGGACCCCCAAAATACAACGTTGGGACCCCAAAAATAGACCCCCGAGACCCCCAAAATACAACGTTGGAACCCCAAAATAGACCCCAAGACACCCAAAAAACCACTCTGGAACCCCAAAAATAGACCCTGGGAACCCCAAAAATAGACCCCGGGACCCCCAAAATACAACGTTGGAACCCCAAAATACACCCTGGGACCCCCAAAAATAGACCCCAAGACCCCCAAAATACAACGTTGGGACCCCAAAATACCCTCTGGAACCCCAAAATAGACCCCGAGACCCCAAAATACCCCCCTGGGACCCCCAAATTGACTTTGGGACCCTCGGAGGGTTCCGCCCGTTCTGAGGGGGCTCCGTTTTCCCGCGCAAGGCGGAAATCTCGCGAGATCTCGACAGTGAAGCCGCGGCGCCATGTTGGGTAAGGGCAACGCCCGCCCGGTTTGGGGCGGGGCCTCTCAAATATAGAATTTAAGAATCCCCCTAAAATATATCCGGGATCCCCCCCAAAATGCACCCCCGAGACCCCCAAAATGCACCCCTGGGACCCCCAAAATACACGTCGGGACCACCAAAACCCCCCTCTCTTGAGCCCCTCAGGGGGTTTGCCCATTTCCCGCGCAGAATCTCGCGAGATCTCGCGAGAAGAAGCCGCGGCGCCATGTTGGGTAAGGGCAATCCCCGCCCTCCCCTCAGCGAACAAAATCGGCCCCGAAACGACCCCAAAATGAGCCCCCCATCCCAAAAAAAGGGCCCCAAAATCGGTCCCAAAATGACCCCCCCATCCCCCAAAAAACGGCCCCGAAATGACCCCCCACTCCCCCAAAAATGGGCGCCCAAACCGGGCCACAAATGATCCCCCATTCCAAAAAATCGTCCCCAAATGATTCCCCATCCCCCAAAAAATCGGCCCCTAAATTATCCCCCCATATCCCAAAAAATCAGCCCCAAAATGATCCCCCCATCCCAAAATATCGGCCCCAAAATGATCCCCTATCCCCCAACAAACGGCCCCAAAATGACCCCCAAATGATCCCCAATCCCCCAAAAGCCGGCCCCAAAACGGCCTCGAAACGACCCCCCAAAAAAGCCCCCAAAACGACCCCAAAATGATCCCAAAATGACCCCAAAAAAGAGACCCCCCAAAAACCAGCCCCACCAAAAATCTCGCGAGACCTCGCGAGATCTCGCCGCGAAGCCGCTCCGCCATCTTTTCTACTGGCAAAAGAGGGAGGTGGGTTGTGTTTGCCCTTAGACCACGCCCCTTTTCTCGCGGCGGGGGAAATCTCGCGAGATTTTCGGGGCGCTTTGCCACGTTCCGGCTCCGGCTCCGGTGAGGAAAAAATAAAAAAATTAAAATAAAATTAAAAAAACCCCGGGGGATAAAAAAAAAAACGGGGTTAAAACGGGGAATAACCGGCCTAGGGAGGGGTCCGGGGGGACTTGGGGAGGGGTTTGAGGGCGAACTGGGAGGGATTTGGGGGGAGTTTGGGGGGTCTTTGAGGGGGTTTGAGGAATCCTGAGGGGATTTGGGGTTTATTTTGAGCGAATTTGGGGGATCCTGAGGGGATTTGGGGTTTTTTTGAGGGAATGTGGGGGGTCCTGAGGGAATTTGGGTTTTTTTGAGGGAATTCTGAGGGATTTGGGGTTTTTTGAGGGAATTTGGGGGTCCTGGGATTGGGGTTTGAGAATTTGGGGGTCCTGAGGGGGAATCTGAGAGATTTGGGGTTCTGAGGAATTTGGGGTCCTGAGGTATTTGGGTCTTTTGAGGGAAGTTCTGAGGATGGGTTCTGAGGGAATTTGGGGATCCTGAGGATTTGGTTTTGAGGGAATTTGGGGGATCCTGAGGGGATTTGGGGGTTTTTGATTGAATTTGAGGAATCCTGAGGGGATTTGGGGTTTTTTTGAGGGAATTTGGGGGATCCTGAGGGGATTTGGGGGTCCTGAGGGAATTTGGGGGTCCTGAGGGAATTTGAGGAATCCTGAGGGGATTTGGGTTTTTTTTGAGGGAATTTGGGGATCCTGAGGGGATTTGGGGTTTTTTTGAGGGAATTTGGGAGGTCCTGAGGGAATTTGGGGGATCCTGAGGGAATTTGGGGGATCCTGAGGGAATTTGGGGGTTTTTTGAGGGAATTTGGGGAATCCTGAGGGGATTTGGGGTTTTGAGGAATTTGGGGGTCCTGAGGGAATTTGGGGGATCCTGAGGGGATTTGGGGTTTTTTTGAGGGAATCTGGGGGGTCCTGAGGGGATTTGGGGTTTTTTTTGAGGGAATTTGGCGGATCCTGAGGGAATTTGGGGTTTTTTTGAGGGAATTTGAGGAATCCTGAGGGGATTTGGGTTTTTTTTGAGGGAATTTGGGGGGTCCTGAGGGGATTTGGGGTTTTTGAGGGAATTTGGGGATCCTGAGGGAATTTGGGGGATCCTGAGGGAATTTGGGGGTTCCTGAGGGGATTTGGGGTTTTTTGAGGGAATTTGGGGGGTCCTGAGGGAATTTGGGGAATCCTGAGGGGATTTGGGGTTTTTTTTGAGGGAATTTGGGGGGTCCTGAGGGGATTTGGGGGGTTTTCTTTGAGGGAATTTGAGGAATCCTGAGGGAATTTGGGGTTCTTGGAGGGAATTTGGGGGATCCTGAGGAATTTGTTTTTTTGAGGGATCTGGGGTCCTGAGGGGATTTGGGGTTTTTTGAGGGAATTTGGGGATCCTGAGGGAATTTGGGGGTTTTGAGGGAATTTGGGGGATCCTGAGGGGATTTGGGGTTTTTTTGAGGGAATTTGAGGGATCCTGATGGGATTTGGGGAATCCTGAGGGGATTTGGGGTTTTTTTGAGGGAATTTGGGTTTTTTTGAGGGAATTTGGGGATCCTGAGGGGATTTGGGTTTTTTTTTGAGGGAATTTGGGGGATCCTGAGGGGATTTGGGGGTCTCTGAGGGGGTTTTGGGGAACCCTGAGGGGATTTGGGGGTCTTTGGGGGGTCCTGAGGGGGTTTTGGGGGTCCTGGAGTGGATTTGGGGGTCCTGAGGGGATTTGGGGGAGTCTTGAGAGGGTTTGGGGGTCCTGACCCCAAAACCCTGAACCCAAAGACCCCTCAGGACCCCAAAGACCCCAAAATTCCTCAAAGACCCCCTAAACCCCCTCATTTTCTCTCTCCAGGACCCCCAAAGACCCCCCAGGACCCCCCAAATTCCCCCTAAACCCCTCAAGACCCCCAAAAACCCCCAGGACCCTCAAAGACCCCCTAAACTCCCCTCATTTTTCTCTTCCAGGACCCCCAAAGACCCCCAGGACCCCCAAAATCCCCCAGGACCCCCAAAGACCCCCAAAACTCCTCAAAGACCCCCCAAAGACCCCCAAATTCCTCAAAGACCCCCTAAACCCCTCATTTTCTCTTCCAGGACCCCCAAAGACCCCCAGGACCCCCTAAAGACCCCAAAATTCCTCAAAGACCCCCTAAACCCCCTCATTTTCCTTCCAGGACCCTGAAAGACCCCCTAGGACCCCAAAACCCCAGGACCCCCTAAAGACCCCAAGGACCCCCTAGGACCCCCAAAGACCCCCAGGACCCCCAAATTCCCCCTAAACCCCCTCAGGACCCCCA